TGCTGGCCACCATGAAACAACAGCTGATGTTTGATTTAGTCGATCAACACGTAAATCTTTTGGCATATAAGATAATTCTTTTGAATTTGTTAATAATAATGTACATTGTTGATCACGTGATAAACCAAGTTGTGTCATTGTTCGAATACTAATTCGATGATGTTTTTCATTTAAATTTATATTTTCAATTAAAACTCGTGTACGTTCATTATTATGAATAGTTGTATAAAGTGTATGATCGAGCAAAACTTGATAACCAAAAATTTGTATATTAGATAAAGGAGGATCCCAAGAAATTAAAACACTATTATTAAGAAATTTTTCAACGTGAAGATTAGTTGGGTGTGGAACTAGAAAAATTAAAAAAATCAGTTAATTTGATTAAATACAAAGTTTCATTTTACTATTTTTTCCAAAGGAAAAATCACTGATTGTCATATCCGATGCATTGCTACTTGCTAAATAAATACAAACAACCAAATAAATAATTATTATTATTTATAGAAAGTTTTTTTTTTTTTACTCGGTGTTCGAACTATTGGATTAGGAATGGAAGAATTCGTATTAAAAGGATCCGAATCAAAACTAAACGCTGATTCACGATTATGTGAAACTCGTTCATCAATAGGAAATATATTTCCAATTAATTTTTGAATACTATATTTTGTATTTTCAGGTAAATCACTTGGACTTTTTACTAATTCAATAAAATTTGATGGTATTAAACCATATCGACCTTCTAAATTTCTGCCATCATAAAAACCATCCTTAAATGAAACAAAAAAAAGTACACAAGTTTTTCTCGGTTATTTTTTTTTTTTGCTTTTTAGTTTTTACTTCATCAATATTGCCATAGATAATATAATAATCTCCTAATTTAAGTGGTAATTCAATTTCTGGATGATCATTTGGAGAAAATCTTAATGGTTCATATGAATATTTTGCAACAACAATTCGAGCTAATTTGTCATTGAAATTTGTTGATCGTTGATATGAATGAATCGGTGCACTATCATCTCTTGTTGATGTTTGAGAATCAGCCATAATTGATAATGGATTCTGATGACTATTAATCAATGAACTACTTCCAGTTGATGAAGGTAATACACGTTGGTGTTTTTGAGGTGTTTTTAATGATTCTAATTGAAGAAGAATTTCTTCGTATTTTAAAGTTTGTGATTCAGTTTTACGTTCGAGATCATGAATTTTCTCCTGAAAGAAAGAAAACAAAACATATCCAATAGATAGATCTAGGGAGGAATACACTAAATTCTAGGGGAAAATGTCATCTTTGACATTTTTTTCGTCGTAAGGCTGTAATTTCCTGTCGATTGTTAATATCATCCATGATCAGTTTTGTTGCTCTATCCAACGATATAGTCGAAATTTGTGACATACAAAACAAAGGTTTCGAAAGTGGTCAAAAATTCGTAACTTTGAATTTTTGTCGATCAATTTCAACTGCTTTTGACATCTGTGTTTAGCATTAGACAAAACCTACGAATAGATTTCGAAAGAGCATTTGAAAATGATCACAACTGACATGAAAAATTGCTAAGAGTCTGATGATTCTCAGTACTGGAAATACTCTAAACTCCAATGAGAAATCTAAATCTATTCATAATTTTAGTTTAATACAAAGTACAGATCTCAAAAGCAGTTATAATCGGTCGAAAAAACTAAAACAATGCAAATTCGACAAAGAACTACATCCTTAATGGCAGAACGGCATATGTTGATAAACAAAATCAGACAAAAAAATAATTTTTGATATTGAAAATTTTAAAAACCTTAAGTCGATTTTTTTTTGTTCTTACACTTATCATTGAACTAATCGAGTGGCTGCTAGAATGTATTTCATTTATCTATTGATAAAATATAGTAACTTTTAACTATTTCAAAAGATATCCATTGTTCTGAAGAGCTATTCTTCATCTTCAGCTAGTCTTTCGCCCTCATTTTCATCTAGATAGCAGCGCATTGATTAAGCAAAGGATACTGGTTGCGATCGCCTTTTTCTTCCGAAATTTTTCTTTTCGATTTTTCTCAGCAGCATTCCGCCGCTTTTCCGAAATCCTAATCAACTTTGACTAGCTGCAAAGCTTCTTTATCTTGATATAAATTATATTCGATTTTGGAAGAAATATTGTCTTTTGCTGTTGATGATTTTTATAGAGAAATTATATCGAAAGATAGTAGTAATTAATAAGCCCATATTTACGAAAAATCGAATTGATTGAGTAATGGTTTATTTTGAAGAGTGTGCTCACGCCTTTGTTTTCAACAAAGAACTCAACCGTTCGTAGGCGGAGAAAGGAAAAGGCTGAGACATCTCTAGCTTCAGTCTGATTATATCGCTAGTGTTGAAAGAAAAATTATTTAATCAATGAACTGAATGGATTAGACACGAGATAATTAGAAATATCTGAAACTGAGAGCCATTGGTGACAAACTAGAAGAAAATTATATCATGACGTATCCACAGGGAATTTAATCTACGGTTGATTAGAAATAGAAATAAATGTTCTGTATATTATTTTGATTATACAAGAATAATTAACTTTTATGTATTGAAAAAAAAAACAGATTGAAATCATTAATTCAATATTCATCTTAAATAAATTCATAATAGATTGATATTTTAGAAGAATAAGATATAAAACTATTCTTGTTACATTTGTACTTTATAGTATATTTAAAACATTCTATTTGATTAAGAATATATTTCCATTCTGTTTTTGAATTTTATTTCAAAAATCTACACTCAAGGTTGTATATGATAAGTCAAAACATAGTTATTTACGTTGTTTTAAAATAATATATGGATGATTTTACTTAGACATGCACATAGCTATTCTTAGCAATATTTTGTCACGATAGGGGTTGCGTCAGTTTTTGACAATCTACAAGATAATTGTTTTATGCACTCTTTCGAATAAGAAAAGAAAAAAAGAACTTATGTGTTGTTTTTTGTTCTAAGAACATATTTTAATTCATTCTTCTTTTTTTCTTTTGAATTATTAGTTTGTCAAAAACTTTCGCGGAATAAATCTTAATATGGAAACTTTAATTGTTTTTAATAAACAGAAATTTTACTACTTAACTTATTGAAAATAATCATTTTACATGATAAAGTTTGTTCGAAAATTAAAATGATATATATATATATATATCAATATTCTTTATATCAACCTAAGTACTTTTTTACTATTTGATCTAAACATATCCATGGATTTGCTTTACTCTAGTCTGATTAGTTTTATCCGGAAGCGACATTGTATATATCTGATTGTTAATACTATTAAAATGAATTAACTTTTTTTTTATATTCCAAAAGGTATTTTAGATTAAGATTTTTAGCAAAAAGAAAAAAATTCAATACTTGAAGTACATGAATTGTTGCTTGATGTTCTCGTTTTGTTGTATCATGCATCTTTAAAAAAAATATTATATAAATTCATAAAAATAATTATTATTAAACAAACTTTTTGAAATTGTTCAATATCATCTTGTTTTTTCTTTAATTCGTGTTTATTTATTTCATTTTCATCATTTAACCGTTTTTGTAAATCATTTGCATCTTGTAATGATTTAATTATTGATTCAAGATCAAGATTTTTATTTTTTAATTGTTCATTTTCACGCTGTTTTAAATCAAATTCCTCTGATTTAGCCATTAAGGCACGTCGGAATGTCTCACATTCTTCTGTTAACTATTCATTGCGGAAAAAAAAATTCTAGTTATTTTAATGTAATATTTTTATCATCACTGACTCGTTCATTCGTATTTGTTGCATTTGTAATTTCATTACGAAGTTGCGTATTTAACATCGAGGTAGTCTCACGCTCTTTGATCTAAGGGTTAGAAAAGAAAAGAAAAGAAAACTGGTCGAGTTGTTTTGGGCTTATAGAAGAATAAGAGAGTGCTTTTCTTAATTTTCGGTAAGATGATTCTTTTCTTTGAAACAATAACTTACGCTATGTTGAAGTTCTTTTTGGAAATGTTCCATTTTCATGTATAAATCTTGTTGATAATTTTGTGTAGATTTCAATTTTAAAAGATCATTTTCTAATAGATCAATTTTTTGTTTTTGTTTATTATATTCATCTATATGTTTACGATTGATTTCATTTTCTATATGTAATAAGTTCTCTTTCAATTGTTCATTTTCATGTAAACAAGAATCATAAGATAATTTTTGTTGTTTATAAACTTTTTCTATTTCTATTAATTGATTATATTTTATTTCAAGTTGTTTATAGGCTTGTTGAAGTTCATCATATTGTTGAAACTACAAGATAAAAATAGTCTTTTTTTAGTTGATGAAAAATAAAACATCTTATTCTTATCATTCACTAATGAATAGGTAAAATTAAAAAAAGAGAAATGAAGAAGAAGAAGAAGAAGAAGAAGAAAAGACCTGTAATTTTAGCTTAGCCGCATTGTCTTCATTAGAATGTGTCAAACGGCGTATTTCTGTTTTCAATCCTTCATTCATTTTTTGTAATGCTTGATAATTAATTGGATCATCAGAAAATACTGATGATGTACTAGATCCTGGAGAATATGATTGTTCTTCATGTGTACTTGTCGATGAAGTTGTTGTTGTTGTTGGCTAGACGAGGAAAGTATTGCGATTGATAATGGAAAGCAAAACAAAAACAAAAAGAATTAACGGAAAAAAAGAAAACCTGTGATAATGTTTGTTGTAAATTACGTTTTGATGTTCGTACATCACGTATAAGACCAGTAAAACGTAATGATGACGATGAATTTGCCATACTTAGTTCTTATGTATTTTTTTTTTGTAGTCTGACAAATAATTTACACGTTAAAAACTGATATTGTCATCTATGATAGAAGATTTTTCCAGTCTTGCATTTTTTCTCTCTTTATAATTGAGCAATAGAAACAGGAAGAGATGAAGTAACGAATGGGATTTTTTTCTCTCTTCTCTGGAGATATTCTAGACACCTGAAAATCCTCTTTTCTTTTTTTATTAAAACGGAAATAAATCGAAACAAAACCAAGACTTAAAGATAGGTTTGCATGCTTGAAAAGTCGTTTCCGTTAAATCGAGATAACTTACACCGACATTAGTTGTTGTCGTAGAATTTAATGATGACACTGATGATAAAAGACGCTTTTCAAGATGTAATTTTTCAATATTTGATTGACGTAATGCTGATTCAAGAAGACTTGACTAAATCAATCATTTTTATTTAGAAATAATATTCTAAAATGAATATATTTACTTTTGAAAGTTGTTTAATTCGTTCATTTAATTGTTCAATTTCTTGATCTTTTTTCGTTAATAATTTATTATATTCAATTGTTTGTTTCGATAAAGCTCGTTTAATCAATTCTTTATCATGATCTTTCTAAAAATCAACATATAATAATTAAGAAATTCTAATTAAGGTATGTTTTCTCTTTTTTTTTGTACCGGTTGATTTTGTTTCAATACATCTAATTGTTTTTCAAATCTTTTAATACGATCATTCAATTCAATATTTTGTCTTTGTAATCCTCGTTCTTGTTCATCGTACAATCGACGATTCTAATTTTATAAGAAAAAAAAAACAAAAAGAATATTAAACAAATTTATATTCAAACTAAAATTAATGAAAGATAGAAAAATCTCGTACAGCTTTCAATTCTTCATTGTCCCACAATTCATCAATGATAGTCACTTGACGCGTACTCGTCTCCATTGAGCAAAAAAAAGGAATGAATGAAATAAAAAAAGAAAAAAAAAGAATATCGATGATGACCAGCTGGTGCCACATAAATACGAACCCTAATAAAGATGCCTATTACTATTCATTGTACAACGTATCGTTAGTAAGACATGTCTTTTTTTTTCTTTTTGAACTAATTCATGTTGTTTTTTTTTTTTATTTCAAAACATCTTCTTCTGCTAGGGAGAGAGACTGGTGGAACATTGTAATTACCCTATAAGATAAAAGGACAGATACAGGTCAGGATATTCCATAGGACAAAGGTACATGAAAAAAGAAAAAAAAACAACAATAGAGAGCGAAAAAAAAGTTTGTCGGAGAGCGTTGCTTATTTTGTTGATTCTTTTAAATAAGCAATTAAATCACGTCGTTCATCTTCTTTCTTCAATCCAGCAAAGATCATTTTGGTACCGGGAATGTATTTCTTTGGGTCTTTTAAGTAAACCCAAAGTGTATCTTCACCCCAAGTGATTCCTTTGTTTTTGTTAGCATCACTATAGTTAAATCCTGCAGCTTGACCAGTTTGTCGACCGAATAGTCCATTAAGATTAGGTCCCTGTTTATTACCGGCACCTTTGTCAACGACATGGCATTGTGCACATTTAGTTTTGAAAACCTTTGCACCCTTTTCTACATCACCACCTTCCCATTCATTACCCATTTTCTTTTTTTTTTTGAAAAAATCGACGAGTTTAGTAGAAGGTTAACGTATGAATGTACTTAGATATTCGATTCAAGAATGGACGACAAGTAAAAAAAAATAGTGATCAAATAGGGAGAGGTTGGTAAACAAATAACAAGTAATGGCGTCGAATCAGGAACTACCTTCAAAATGAATCAGTTACAATGTAGTAGAGATGGAGGACTACACAAGGCAACTTGCATATGCAATGGCGGAGAAATAGTTGAAAGCGCCGCACAAGAAAAGAAAGAAAAAAAAACTTGATTATTCAACTTACTGTAGAAGTAACAAGATCAGGATCATTGCTTCGTAAAATTTGTATTGGTTGAGTTTTTCTATTTATTTTTTCATTATCATTATTATTATTTAATGTTGTATTTTTTAATTGTTCAATATCATACGATAGTTCAGTAATACGTTGATCACGCATAAGTAATTGTCGTTGTAAATAACATACGAAATCTTTTTGATCTTGTTTACAAAATGTATTTAATTCATATTCAAATTGTAAACGAAGTTTTGTAATTTTAGCTGATTTATCAAGATCAGATTTACATTTTACCTTAAAAAACAAAAAAACTTTACTTTAATCATCATAAATTAAAAACAAAAAAGAAACTATGTGCTTTCCATCCAAGTCTTCTAGGCTGTCATGTAGATGATATATAAATAGATTACAGGAATAGTAAAAAGAAACAAAAACATACTCAATAAACGGTAATATTATGCATATCGATAGAATAATAATAAAACTTACTTTATAGAGTGCTGCTAACTGGTTTTTAGCTTGTTTAACTGCTGCTAATTCACGTTTAAGTTTATCAACAAGAGTTATCAATGATAAACTTGATTCGTCATATTGAATATGATTTATATCATCATTAATACCAGTATTACTCTTATAAGATGAGCTTATTGATGGTGGATCTGTTTCACATGTTGATCCTGATGATGATGTTGTTGACGGTGTAAATAAATTAATTGGTTGGGAATGAGTTGGATGAGAATTATAAACTGTTTTGGTAAGGTTTGTTGTTTTTATCATTGGATTAATTTCGAATTATTATGATCTTATTCATTACTACACGATATATATTAACTATATAACAGAATAAAAAGAAAAAGAAATACATCGTCTGTCAATAAATTCAATCATGTATGTTTTTTTTCTCTTTTAATTCAAAGAAGAAAAGAATGAATAAGACAAAGGGCAACATGCGAAAAAAATCGATCAGAACGGATGTCAATAAGAGAAGAGAACTATGTAGATGTGGATGAAAAAAAAAATCGATTCACCAGTTGCATATGTCCGCATAAATGAACAATGACATTAAACACATCGTAATTCTTATATATCCCCCATATTGATAAGAACATTAATACATAAACAACGGTCTCTGACAAGTGCAATTTAAAATATCCAGAATGAAAACGAACAAACAAATGATTGACATATATAAAGATTCGAACGATTTAATTGAAGAATCTGAAGCCCTACTTCATAAAGAATTTGAATTTAAATGTAAAGAAAAAATGAAAAACTATGAAAGGTCATGACCTTGAATAAGATCTCGTATCTCATTTCTCATATTCGATACTCTTAAATAAGTTGTATTGATCATTTGTTAAGTTTAACAACTAATAAAACAAAAAAAAAGAGAAAAGAAGGCCATGTATGTGTATTGAACTTCAAGTATCATTAAAAAAAAGTGATACGACACACTTGAAAAATAATACTTTCTTACATCATTAAAATCAACCAAATTTCATAACAATATTTTGTTTCAATTAATTTTACAATTATTTTTTTAATAGAAATATTTTTCTTTTGGTATTCCAACATTGATATCATAATAGTTTTTTAAAATAATAATTTGTTCAAAATTGAACGAATTAAAATTAAATAAAATATCTCATTATACAATTAAAATACTTATTCATATGAATAAGAAAAAACTAATAAACTTTATAGATCGTCCAAAACAACAAATTTATTTTGCATGAAATGCATTAGCGCTACAATCCATTGATTAGCAAGGATTGGTGTGATAATCAACGTTGAATAGTGTTTATTTCAAGATTTAAAGAAAACATCATGGCAAAATTAGTTCGAACAATAAAACAACTATTTAGTTCAAATACTCGTGAATCATTAGCTAAATTCGTTGGAACTGATCAATTTCAAAATAAATTCTATGAACGTTTACCCGGTAACATTTATTTAATTTACTAAAATTTTATATCTTCATTTTGTTTTTCGAAAGGTAATCGACATTATAATTCATCTAGACGATTTTATGAACCAGCAAACTATTCAGATGTTCGACTACATATTGATCCAGCTTGGGAAGGTTTATATGAATAAATAAATAAATAAATAAATATCAATATTTATTTATGTTCTTCTTTAGCTTGGTTAAGGGGTACTCGAAAAGATCCTCCGACATTTAATGAAATAATTGCGCAAGAAAATAGACGGCAACAATTGTCAGAAAAAGTAGAACTGATTTTATTTGGTCTATAACATTGAATTTTTTTTTAAAATGTTTATAGCCAATCGATATGTTGTCTACAAGTTATGGGCGTGATTCAGCACAAGGTGGAACAGGTAAATATTCAAGTTTATTTTTAATTAATATATGAATCTATGTTTATTTGAAGGTTCATATCCAATACAAGATGATTATGAGATTAGTCCAGGCACTAAATCAAGAAAAAAACAGGATCCTAATGAAACACATTGACATATATATATATAATAAACTAGTTTTTGTTGCTTTCTTCCTCTTGACTTCAATAAATCTAGATCTTGTTTTTGGTTTTAGATGGATGAAGAAATAACTAAACATGAAGATGATTCTTCATCAAATTGTTTAACACGTACAACAATACGTGAAGCAAATCATCATTTACAAATGTTACATAAACATAGTCAAGAATTAGAACAATTAGTTAATAAACAAAAAGAAGAATTAAAACAAAAAGATTTAGCTTATATTGATCTATTTAAAGCAAATCAATTATTAGAAAAACGTTGTCAACAATTACAAATATTACTCGATGATCGAACACGACGTTTACAAATTTATGAAAGAAAAGAAAGATTATTTCGAGAAACTCTTGAATTAAAACCAGCTATTGAATCATTATTAGATGTATTAAATACATTCGAAAAAGAAGATGCTATTTTATCATCGATTCCAATTCAAACTCTACAAACATTAAATCAAAAGAAAAATATGAATATTTTCCATAAAACAGATGCTGTCTAAATTTAATATATGAACAGTATATACATATTCATCTTTTATCGTCAGATTTTTAGATAATATCCATTCTTTTTTTTGTTTTAAGTGTTAATATTTTGTGTAATAATAAATCATAAATTTGTACTTGTAGGAATAATACCTAATATTTTGAAAGATAAAAAAGTGTTAGCGCAATCCTTACGGGATTAAAATGTGAAACACGATATAGTTGCTGTTATCAATCACAAGAAGATTGTTTTAATCTATCTATTTTGGGACACATGTTCTTTTACTATCCTCCTACTTTATCTTCTACAAATGTAATAAAATAGTAGTTCATATAGTAAAATGAGACATTATTAATATATGGTCTTTGATTGTATATCAACGACGTCTGCCACGGTCTATGGAAGGGGGACGGAGGGGAGGATTCAAATTTTTACCCCTATACTTCAGCACTCCATTCAAGTCGTGTGTCACAATAAAACATGAAAAAAAATCAAAATATTCGAAGAAAATCTAGTGTTACTAATCGGTGAATAGTGTCTAATGGTTGATGCACCAAAAAAGCAAAAAATAATGTATAGAGCATTATAAACACTATTAGAAGAATTCATAAATTTCATCGAAAGACTTTTATATACATATATGTAAATGCATCGTTTCTAACTCAATGAGTTTAGCACAGTATACCTATCAACAATGTTTTATATTATTAGTTTTCACACAGACTTTTTGCTTCGGCAATTAGTGGCGTTCAAGACTTCGTTAGTTATTAAATGAGTGTAGAAGGAGAGTTCAATACTTTGAAATTTTTTCATTCAATAGGAAAAACAACGATGAAAATAAACAGACATATGTGATTATTAGTAATCTAACTTTCTAGTATATTTGACTTACAATTCTACTGATGTCGAGCGTTTGATTTTATTAGGCGTGTTCTTATTTGGTTTAAAAAAAAAAAAAGTTCGGAATTTCATGTAGAAAATAAACTTTAATGTTATTCTTCGTTGTTTTTACTCTTCGAAGACTTGCTTTGTCTGTAAATACATTTGCTTGAGTTTTATTTCATGTTGATGCACTTTTTAGTAATCACTCCTTGAATGTTTTAAACGTGTTTTTTTTTGTCGATTTGCACATAACACCATTGGCAACTTTTAATAAAGTAAATACATTAATAACTGAGTTACTGAACATTTCGATTGATGCTTTTAGTGAAATGTATAACTGATGGTTGATATGGTATTGGAAATTTTATCATAATATATAGTTGCAAACTTTGATAGTCAACTATATTTTTAATACACTGCGTATGGTCACTATTCATCACAGTGAACATCCACTAGGTATTTTCAGTTTTGCTTCGATATCCCTGATGTATTAATAATTTTGTTCCCAAATTAGCAGCATAACTGTGAGAATAGTTTTCATCTATTAAAGTTTATTATTATCATCATCCATTGTCAACATGTCGATATATGGTCGAATAACTGGAGTTTAATTTCCTGTTTTTTTGAATAGAAACTTTATTAATTGACATGTAACAAACTTCTTCTATTATCTTATTGTTCACTTTGTAGAGAAAGGGAATAGAATGTTATAATTCTTATTGGATCATTATAATTGTAAGGGAGGTTTTTTTTTCTTTACTACAATAATCCTTTTAACTAAGAAATTTTTATACTTTATTTCGATTAGAATGGAAGTTAGATGTATTCTATTAGAATGACTCGTTCATGTGGAACAGAAAATTAGATATTCATTTGTTCTTTTTGTCATTTGAAGACAAATTCATATGACATTCAATGAGTTTATTTATTAATTTGCGAAACAATGAAACCGGTAGTTTTATAAATTGATTCTCGTATTCTTGACTCTGTATTCATAAATCAAAGACATATTATGTGATATTAAAAAAATTATTAAGCGGTAACCGTCAAATGTATTCTCACTCTGTCATTGCACATTGCTTTCTTATCATCCTTATCTATTTATTCGGTATTTTCTTGGAACCGAACTGCGATCTAATTTTGAATGTGCAATGGATGAACAATATGTCCACACGCATAATAGAATATTTTAACAATATTCAAGACTTTTATCAATAAATGATTGAGCTTCAAAAACTTACAAACTAAATAATGATACAGAATTTAAAGGACTATCAGAATATATAATTATTTTCCTCACAATGTATTGTATCCGTGATATATGAAACAATACATTTTTAAAACGAATGTTCATGTATATTGGTATCTCAGTATACGAACGTTCCTATATATAACAACAATTACACAGCTATGCGTATGTTTCATCTGCCTATACATCTATGCTTTCACTGATGTAACAATGAACTTGGAAATTGCAAACAAGAGACAAAAAGAAGAACAATCTATAAGGAACAGAACATTGATTCCGAAAAGAAAGCTGAAAGTACAGCAAGAATATATTTAACGACTGGCATCGATAGGATGTGTCTCTTAACGTCCTACCAAATTACTAAATCCAAAAACTGTAAACAAAAAATCTACATTGTCATTATTGAATAAGAGAGCCTTTAGTTGGAACCAAAGAAGGAATGTTCCTAACTGGCAAATTGCTTTTTGCTAAAGACTATTTGCTATTCGATCGGTCTTAACAAGTAGTTTGGTTTTCCGATATTCGCTTGTGAAATTATAGAAATATTACTCGATTTTTGCTCTAAAACCATCTGATCGTTGATACTTTAAATGATTGAATTTGGAGCTGAAATTTCATCCATAGATAAAGTATTTTTTCACTAAAAGTGCTCACAGTTTGAGCTAGAATAAATCCATATGTCCTTGCTTTGAAACATAGTTCAAAGTAGACATTTATCTAAAATGTAAATATTTAGACAAAGGATTTCTTCATTCGGGCTCGAGCTTTGACGAGTTTCTAGTGAATGACTATAAGGTTTATTTATAGATAAAATATTAGCTCGAAATTCGATCATCCAGTTTCTCAACGATTTTATACTCATGGGACAAAAATGATCGAGTAAAAAACTCATAAATCAACAAGCGAAGATTGGAAAAATCAAATCGAAATATACTTTTTCACTGCTAATTATGATCGATCGAAAGGCAATATTCTCATGCAAAGAAAACTGTTTTGACATGTAAGAATATTCCTTCATAAGCTGGAAGTGTTTTTGAATCCTATAGCAGAAATATACTGAAGTTGGCCGTTTTGCACTGTATATCATTTAGCTGAATTACGAAAAGCAAAATATTTTATTATTCCTTGAACCATTTTCAAACCTAATATTCATTTTAGGCAATGCATTCAGCATATAATTTGCTCATTGATTGAATATGATTGCATGAAACATTTCAAATAAATGATCAAGATAATTACATGTCAAGTTCTATTCATCTTTCATTTGTTGTTTTTTTTATAATTCGGTTTGATCTGTCTGCTTCTTTTTTCATTTGATGCTCATTTCTTTAAATTTCATATCGTGCAAATCAGCTTGATTATAACAAGTGAAATCATAAAAAACAACTGTATGACAGTTACAGAAAATTCCTCTTTGTTTGCATCAATAGATAAATATATGTATCTTTTAAAAAAATTTTATTTTCCTTCTTCTTAATTAAAAAACAAAAGAACTTTATTGATCGATTTCGAATATTTGATGATCATATTTTCTTATATATATCACTATTATTAACCCTTTAGTAACCAGAGACGTATGTATACGTCATGAGCTTTATCGTCACGTGAAACTCATGTAATTACTTGTAATTTATATTTTTTCGATACATTTTCATAAAAGTTGTCGGATATGACTTTATCGTTTTATTGAATAAAATAGAACGAAATTCGAAGTTTGAAGCTCTTTTAAATAAATAGTTGTTATTGGACAACATGATAACAAATTCCTGCGTAGAATAAATTAAAAAAACTTTTACAAAACATAAAAATTTGATTTTTGTATTAAAGAAGTTTCAAAATATTGACATCAAGATTTGCTTGAAAGATTCTCATCACCATCATTTTCATCACCATCATTTTCATCATTTATTGTACACAATTCAAAATTATTTTCAATTGTTTCAATTTGAGATAATGGTGGAGTTTCTTCATTGTTTTTCTTTTGTTTTTTTTCTTTCTCAAGTTGAAGTAGATGACGACAAAATCCATCATTTGGCCAAATACGACGTCGAGTAGCAACAAGTTGAAATGCATCAAACAATGACATATGTTCATATGTATGAAGTAGATATGCTATAATTAATGTTGCTGATCGACTAATACCCTAAAATTTTCAATAAATTAAAATTCTATAATAAGATTTTTTAATTTACTTGTTGACAATGAACATAAACACGATCTAGAATTGCAAAAAGAAAAAAAAATAACCTTAAAATTTACACATTATTATTTTACTAATGATTATGTACTTTTTTTATTATTTAATGCTTCTTCTAAAAATTGTATTGCATCTTCAAAATGTATTCCAATTTTATATGCTGGACTATCAATAATTGAAAAACCTTTATATTTAATTCCTACTTCTTCATAATAAGTTGCACTTGTATTAATCTGTCCAAATTTACGTCCTTCGGCTGCATTCAAAATATGCGTAAAACCTAATTTCTTCAATCGTATTGAATCCATTGCTAATCGACTAAATGAATAAATTTAAAAAAAAAAATAAAAAAAATTCTATAATATTTCATCTAATTTATAATGCTTACTAGTCACCAAGAAATAATCTTGGTATAATTTCATGATAACCACCTCGTTCACAATCAATATCTTCAAGTTTTTCTTGATTTGTATTCGTTGAAAAAAATCGTCGAAATAATTCAATAATCGTTGAACTTTTTGCTGGTTCAATTTTTGTTTGAATTAATATTTGACGAATTTTATTTAAATGAGTTTTTTCATCATTATCATCATCATCATCATTATCATTCTTGGCATCGTTATTATTATCATCCATCTCAAAATTATAGATTAATTATTATAAATCAATTTTAATTTTATATACAAAAAGAAATGAATATGAGATTAGAAGAAATTTAATGAGGAATAAGAAATACATAAAATACTGTTCACACATATCGTTGTTCGATAAAAATTCAAAAAACAACAAATAAACAAAAACAAAAGAATTCGACATTAAATAATTAGTATTGTTGTCGTTTACATCACGTAAACTCTTCGAGTTAAACAATAACAATGAATAATTTGAGATTAAATATAGAAAGACTTTTAAATATATATTGGGGTATCTTGTCCTGTTAATAAACGATAGATTTGTGTTGGCATTGTTTTCATTCGAAGCTGAAACATAAAGAAAATCACAAAATAAAGTCAAAGATTTCATTTTAAATTGAAAAAAAAAATAACGATTAGAATAATTCACTTACTTCGCCGACTGAATTTGAAAGCATACTAACAATTCTTTCATGTCGTGTAGCTACAACACTTTGTCCATTGATTTCAATAATACGATGACCAACTCGTACACCACCACGTTCAGCAATACCACCACGAAGAAGACTACATATCTAAGATGAAAGAATTATATACCATCAAGTCGACAATAATCCACTTAATCATAATGAATAAAACTTGTTAGTGTGGTCCCTTTTGGCTCCAAAAGTGAAGAACTCACGAACTCTAATTGTTATAAATTTTTAACATTGTCAGAGCATTTAAAATAAATTTATTTTTAAAAGATGTTAAATAAATGAATAATTCAAAATCATAACACTTTTTATTATTGATAGACGTCTCTAAAATTTTGTCATTTCGAAAATTTGCACATTTATTATTACTTTTCTACCAATTTATTTGATTGGTTCAGTATTATTATACTGTAAAAACTTATTTGTATTATCAAATACATCTTCAATCCATAGCTTCTTTCTCTTAATGGTAACATATCTACAATACATACAATCAGTTCAGATATTCTATGTCTGTCCTAATCAGACTCTACTAGATTAAAAATATGACCGCTCTATTGGTTAAAATCTACAATAAGATCCTTTCGCTGCATAAAATCCCTAACGCTACACTATTTAGACTAAACACTTAAAATCTACAGAGCATCGGAGTAGTCTAAGCACTGATATTACTTACGTGCTATTTCTCGTTGCTATGGAAACATATGGAATAATTTTTGGCTTTCTCTTTCCACGGTTGCTGGGCCATGGAGGGTTACTTATGTCTGTAATAGGGAGGGGAGGGGAGGGGAGAGGAGAGTCATAATACTTTGACTTAAAACTCACACTCACTGTTTTCTTCGAAAATATATGTGAGTGAAAGATAGATTTCAGAATTTCTAAAAACATAACACTCCGTCGAGTATAAGTCTAAGATGGTATTTGATATTCATAAGAAATCTAACCAATCTTTTGATTTTACTTAGAGAAAACTTTTTTTTTCTATTTTTTATTTTCAACGAAATAAATATATACAGGGCTAATCTATCCGACTCCAATGGCCAATCTAAAATTTCGGTAAATGAGGGTGCATCGACAGAATAGGGGATGATTATAGTCACATCACGCATTTTCGAATCAAATTATTAGCCGTATTGACTCGTTTTCGGCTAAAAAAACATAGTTTCAAAGGAAGAAATGGTCGTCCCTCTGTGATTTCGCCACTATTCTACCCTGCAGGATCGGGTAAAAGTTAGCAAATTTTTCTCAATCAGGGTACATAGCACGAGAAAATCTTACCCTACACGTCGCTATTATCAATGTCAAAATGTAATACAACTCGATATTTTTTGAATATCTCAAGAATAAAAGTAGCTAGAAACCTTCGATTTTCATTCTTCAACTCAACTTAGTCGAATAATTTAAATTCAATACCATTTTAATTAATCAGTGGTAAGTTGTCAAATTTCAAAGCTTTGATTAAAAGGGTTTGTGTAATGCTCATAAACGGATAGTGAGGCTTCATTATTCTATACCTTTTTTTTGTTTACTGCAATGGAATGGACTGAATTATAAACGTCGACTTTATGTAAATCGACAGAGAAATGTTTTCCTTATTGATTGACTTAATTGAAAGTTACAGTTGGTTGAGAGCTTTTGTTTTCGAAAACTTCTGATCAAAAAAGATATATCAAAATTGATCAATATATATTAAACTTATGATATCCGATGTAACTTTAAAAAAGTTGAATCTGATAATTTTCTTCGTTATCAAATACTAGAGATCACGAACTACTTTTGTTCTCCAATTATGTACGATAGAATTGAATCTATTCTATTTGTTTTACATCACTAATAATTACTTACAATTCCATTTTGTACACTAAAGCCAAGCTAGAAAAAAGAAAAGTATTTCAAATTTGTTTTTCAAAAGTTAAATATCTACTTGATATTTGATATCTGGTCGTCGTATAAGTACTTCAACAACTGGTGGACATGGAACAACAACAAGACGAACAGTTGTTAAATGTTTCATGTTCTAAATTTTGAAAAGAATTATATTAGTTTATTTACTTAACACATCCACCTCGAAATAGACTACGGTAAAAAATTAAAATATGCTGATTCTACTTCAATGAAATGAGCTAATTTTTTTCAATGGTAGAGAATAGTTCAAGTTTTTTTTCATAAGAGCAAAGTTGATAAATGTTTTGAATTATGAATACTGACCTCCATAATATGAAAATTGTTTTCTTTCGATATATACAAGGTCAAGTTTTGCTGACTTTTTTGAAGAGTGATAGGCATTTTCTCGAGAGTTTATTTATAGATTTTACAATGATTGAAGTCATTATATGAAAGTTTCAATATTTTGATTCTATATTATGTTTTGGAAAATCTAGATTTAGTAATTCCAATCACTTAGAGATCATTTAGTCGATTTTGGAGCTCTCAGAAAAATGCCTATAGTTTTTCAACAGACCAAACCAGCGATCTCAACTTTACACATGTCGAAAGAGAACAGTTTTCATATTATTGAGGTCAGTACTCATAATTCAAAGCATTTATAAACTACTTTTGATCATCAAATAAAGCTACGCTATTTAATTAAAATAGAGTCGGTATGCTCAATTTTCTTATCGTCATTCACATCGCGGTGAATGTGTTAATTCAATAGAATACTTTTATTTGTGCTTGACAATTTGATAATGGTAATCCAACCATACTAATACCATTAACTGATATTATTTGGTCACCAATATTTAATTGTCCACCTCTAATTAATCAAAAAAAAAAAAGGAAAATATGAACAAAATATTTCCTGTTAAAGCAAACCTTGCTGCCGGTCCACCTGGCATCATATTTGCAATAACAACTGTTGGTAACATTGATCCCCAACCACTTTCAACAATAACAATACCTAATGGTTCATTTTTACCTTTAGTTACAATCGCCTATGAAAAAAAAACAAGTAAAAAGAAAAAAAAACGAGTTATATTATTTCAATTTTTTTGTTGTGCTTTCAAACCTCTTTTTGACATTCTTTTTTTGCAAATCGATCTAATTCTTCAACATCAATTTCTTGTTGATCAAGAACTTCTTGATAATTAATATCACATGTAAAATTAGGATCATCAATACCATTAGCTTTTAAAAATTCAACATAAGCTACTTGAAATGCTTGACCTATTGAATGAGCAATTGATTGAGCCTAAAGAAACAAATATATAATAATTATTTCAAAAAAAAAAATAATAATAATTTTTTTGAAAATTCTCTATTTACTTCATCTGATTCAAAAACGTGACAAATCATTTTTTGATTAATTGAAACTACACGTCGTGTTGTTGTTCCATTCGAATCATCATTACTATTTGCATTATTCTCATTTTGTATATACCTGCGTTTAGCCATTAATACTACAAGATCATCAATATCAGCTAAACATGCAGAATGAATTAGATAAGTCAAAACAAAAAAACATTTTCTTAACTAACCAATATATGAAATCGATCTTAATGAATGATCCATTAAAATATCTTCTAAATCGGTATTTAAAACCATGATTTTTTCGGTTGATATAAATAAATCCACTTCAACTGATGGTTGACTTTCACCATATGGTGCTTTGATACGTTCAACAGCTTCCTGTGCTTGCATCATACGTGATATTTTTGTTGGATTTCCTTCGGCAGGCAATTGAGTTGAACCAAGATATCGACAACGAAATAAAACACCTTCGATTAATACAGATGAATTTTCTGGATCAGCAATAATTCGAGTTACAACTAATTAATAAAACATCAAATTAATTTTTTTGTCAAGAAAAAAAAAAAGAAATTTTTCACATTCATATAACACAACACTAAATTTTCATAGACATAAAATACTTACAAAAGAGAAAAAAAGTTAGTAATCGTTCTTTTAAAACTCGTGAATAAAAAGAAACATAGAACAAGAAAAAAAACAAAAAGTCTTCTAATCAATTGATATAAACGTACCTTCATGTGTTTTGGATGATTTTGAAACAGCCTATTCAAACACGAAAGAAAACAATTTCTTGATAATTTTAATTTTTTATTTCTACATACAGCATCACGAATTGCTTGATTTTTTGCATTGATTCGATGTTCAACACTAAGTAATTTATCGGTTTCTTCATCAGTATCATTATCTATTGAAAACAAAAGGAATAATATTTACTTGAAAATACATTCTATTCTAAACTCATCATATCACCACAAAAAGAAAAATATACATGCAAAACAAACCCTTTTTTTGAAGTTTTTTATCTAAATTTTCTTTTTTGTTTTTTTTTTAAACATATTATAAACAAAATAAAAAAAAAATTAAATTTACCTGTTTGAATAGTTGAAGATTCATGTGAAGTTATTTTATGTTGATCTATTTGAGTGTTAGACGAAGATACTGATGTATTATTATAGGATGATTTTGCTGCAGATATATGTTCATTATTTATTGTTTTAGTAGAATAATGTTTCTGTGTAGGAATGGATGATGAATGATTAGAATCAAATAATAAATCACTTTGAGTTGATTGATGACAACTCTTGGATTGTGTTATTATGGATGATGATTGTTCATCATTACTTATATTTTCAGAATCAGATAGACCATCTTCCAGTACAGGCATACCTGAACAAAACATACATTTTATTGAAATCACTATCGAATAATTTTGTCCTTTAGATTCATACAAAGATTGATTGTTTTCCTAACGATTTAGACAATAAGATATTTCTTTTCATAGTTACTAAGAAACTATTGTCAGTATACCAATCGGTATAATGCATGTGTTTTCGATTACGATCGAATTGCGACGCAGTTGCGCAGTAACTGTGATCGTACTGTGACCCATTATCACAATAAATTGCGATGCATTTATGCGTAATTACGATAGAAAGATTATGGCTATGCGATTTGTTTATCATAACTGTACGTAACTGCGTCGCAGTTGCTAAACAAGAGGTGACATGAGTACGATCTATACTGGTGTTTTTTTTTGTGATAACGTTGATTTATCTGAACCATGTGTACTAGTCAAGAGCTCAAAGTGGTTCTAATTATGAAATAAGTTCGTATTAGTAAATTATATATTCTGAAGACTGTTTTCTTCTCAATGAATTTGAATTCTTTCTAATAAATAATTCGAATTGAGATAGAAAACACTCTCTGTAATTATTTAGAGCTGAAACCGAAAGTCATAAGCGCTATCGGCGGTAGTGAGAACAAACGTGTGACATGAAATATTTCTGAAAGCATGTTTTTTTCAACTTATTTGAAAAAAAACTTTCTAAAGAAAAATCTATTTGTAGAGTTTCTGTAATCATATCTTATGATTTAGACAAAGAATTTCTAGAATATACAAATACTTGTGAGAATTCTGTTTTTTTTAACTTCTCTTGAGAATTTGTAATTAAGAATAGATTGTCATGCTTAACTTATACTGAAGATTGTATCTTATACTTTTTTTAAAAACTTACTAGCAGCTATATTAGATTTAATACTATCAAGTGAAATAATACTATCTGCATCATTAATTCCTCCATCATCGTCATCAGATAATAAATCTGGTGATAATCTAGATAAACCTCCATTAATTGTTTGAAGACTATGATGATAGGATTGGAATGGTTTATTAATTGATGTAGCCTTTTTTCGATTTCCATTTGTGACTAAATCAGATAATTTCATGGAATCATCGCTAATTGATGGTGAATTTTCGGAATGTTCTTTTGTTGGAGTTGTTAATATGGATGAAATATTATCTAAACGATAATGAATTACTTATTGATACTATTATTTTGTTTTAAATTCAATATCCATCTAATATCATACCTGACAAAGAAGCCTGTTCTTGTAAAAGTCGAGCTGCTACTGCCTGTTGTTGTGTATAATAAGCCGATAAAACATGTGGACCATAATGTTGTTCAATTAATAATGGATCATACGATGGATAGAATGGTGGTGGTAAGCCATTGTTTGTTGGTGGATAAGGTAAATAAAGACCCGGATGTTGATGTGCAAATGGATAAATTCCAGGAGGCCATAATGATTGTCCATAAGGATCCATAGTTGATGGTGGAATGATAGGACGATGATAATATTGTCCATTTTGTATTGATTCTTGATTAATTGAATCATTATTGATAGAATCTGTTGTCATATCACGAAAATAATGATTAGGTTTAGCGTTAGTTGATGATGTACTATCAAATAATTGAAGATCATTTTGTGTTAATTGTGAAGGTTTTGTTGTTGTTCGACGAACTTGTGTAACAATTGTTTCGAGATTTTTTTCTAATGCTGCATCAATACGTTTAGTTTCAAATGATTTCACGGATGACATTGAATTAGGTTTAGATAAATTAGGATTATTTATAGGAGATGATCGATCATATATTTGTTGATTTTCATCTAGATAAACATAATGTTAAAATGATTCTTAGAATATAAAAGACATTCTTACGAAGAATATGTTGATTCATAGGTGATGACCTATCATCTCGTTGTATTGTTGTTGATAAAGATTCGTTATTGTCTAATGTTAGATCAGTTACAGAGGATGACGATTGTTTAGAATTATTATCATTGATCTGTTTAATAAAGCAAAAAGAACAGGTGTCAATTCAAGGAAAAATCTTTTTCTTTTCATATTATTCGTATGAATACTCCCTATTTTAACCTTGAATTATTTATTGTATGGATAATATGCTTACTTAATGTTACAAACTTGTTTGTATATAGTTTTATCAGCTTTTAAAACAAAACAAAATCTATGAAACCATTATATAGACAGAGAAGTCTTATAGTTTATTTATAATGATAGATTGATAGTTGATGAAATGTTAAGAAGAAGAAGAAGAAGAAGAAGAAGAGAATACTCTTGAGTCAAACTATGATATATTATTGACATCACGATCAACACATGCAATTAGAAGGATGAATCGACTTTACACTTATGTTCTCTTTTTTGCTAGAAGGCATACGTCATTGACCCATATTCACATAGATGATTCGGATTTTAAATTATACAGAGATGGATGCTCAAGATGGAATAATCATGCAATCTTATTTTCTCGAGGGATTAAAGAATACAACGAAAAACTTCACGTGTTGATGATGATGTTTACGACGAGATTTCTTTTCCTCGTTATGTTACTTATTGATAAAGACAGTATATCTTATTCATTTTGAATCATTCAATCTTAGAACATATTAATACTAATCTGATGGTCTATCTGTTTCTTTTTCTCTCTCTGTCTTAGTTTTTTTTCTGCTTCAATCCATCTGTCAATGCACAGGAAGAAAAAAAAATCATCAGAGAATCAAACAATGGATTCTTTTTTATCAATTTATATGCTAAAAGAAAGTTCCTGATTCTGATCAAGCGGTAGAAAACGAATCACATGTGAATAACATAGAATACCAACAATGTCTTGAAAAACGGAAGTAAGATATTTCTTTTTATCAAACTAACAATAGGATAGAACAGTAGGGAAGATGGTTAGACAGATGCACAGACATGCATGTGCTCAAGGGTATATATTTATCAAATTGTCTTTAATTGATAAACACTTCGAATAGCAACAACAAAACACCAAACAAGATGAATGAGATAATAACAATAAAAGTGCGTAGGAAAAAACTGTTAACAAAATGATTTTTTATTTTTCCAAAAAAATAAAATAGAATTACCTGCGATTTTAAAGATATTGTTGTATCTTCATTATTGACTGACATCACAGATAGTTCATCATTTTCAGCAATAGCTTCTTCATTAATATTATCAATTTTAATTGTATTCTGAGAATGTAAATATTCCATTATATCAATGTTTCATTTATGTACGAGAAGAATACTATAAAATAAAATAAAAAAGTTAGTGAGTACTTTGTCTTAGTGATACATTAGATTATGATCTAAGAAAAAAAAATTGATTCTGATCATTTACATTATATACTCGTACTGAAAATGATAAATTCAATAAATTAACTTTTGACACCTACTCAATATGGCATGGCAGGAACATATATATAGATGAAAAAAAAAAGGTATATAGTTCTCTGATTGCAAAAAATAAAAGAAGACAGCATGCTACACGTGTATTATTCATTGGCCAATGATAATAATGATGAAAAAGAAAAAAAAAAAAGAAGTAAAAGAGTAGCATCAGTACCAGTAGGAAATAAAAAAGACGAAGAGAAGAATAAAAAAATAATGAGTATGAGGCGTTTTGGACTTGCAAGTCTTACTTTGTCGTAGTTTTTTTTCCTTTCTCTATACAATAATATTGATAATGATGCCATTCTGACACATTGACATTCTTTTTTTTCTACGAGTAAAAACATATATTTAAGTATATGCGTGTATGTGCACGTACACGCTATGCATTTTGTGTTTTCTATCAAAAGAGAGAAAAAAATACATCGAAATAATGAATGAAGTAAATCTGAAGAAAAGTCTCAATCGAGTTTTTACCTCAGGAAAGAAAAGAAAGGAAAAGCATAAGCAAAACGGAAGAAAGAGAATATTGGTTGCATGTTCAGTGAGTAATAGATATTCTCATTTGGACTGGATTCTATCAATATTTGTATGCTTAGAAAGAGTGAGAACCTATCTGGAGATCAATTTCAATAGCGGCATTACTATTTTTTATTTCTGATATATCCGAAAAAAGAACAATACTGTTGTGTTAATAATCCAGGCAAGAAAAAAGATATGTTTTTGAAAATCATAAAAATGCCTTTATGGCATACAATGTTTTAGCACTAAAGCCATATTTCATTGCAAAACTAACTCACCTAATCAATTTAAAATTGTTATGTTGTATTTGATTTTCATTAGAAAAATAAAAATTATTTTCATCTAAGTAAACAAAAAAAATGAAAACGATGAGAAACAAATAGAAACTTAGTCGGCTAGCATTTTTTTTGTTTATTAAATAAACAAAAGAAAAATATAGTACAAAGAATACAATTAAAAAAAGAACTAACATTAATGAGGTTTTAATATAGAATATGTCAGATTGGTTCCGGATCCGACCACATCCAGGTTCATAATCGACTCGAGGGAGTGATATTCTAAAAGTAGTAGATAATTATGACTTGATTATTATCAGATCAATGTCAAGTATGTCTGAGAAATGTGTAGGGTATGTTAGTAGCAGAATACAAATAACTGACAAAAGAATATCTATGATCTTTGGAATGATTATTAGACTTAGACTAAAAATTTTGTTAAAATTAGAATTACAATTCGAATTTGGTTATAAAATACGTTCAATAAATCGAATTCGTATCAAAAAATATTTTAAATCCAACAAATTGTATTTTGATGTACAAATTTTTGCAAAAATCTCTTGTTTTTTACCAGGATTTATAATAGCTGTATAGATTGCAATTTTATTAAGTACCAGTATAACAGATACAACAATATAAAAAATATTATTTGTGTTAAATTAAATGTTTGAAGAATATTTTCTGCTGTTAGTTGTCTTCGACCATCTCATGGATCATGTAACCAATATCCATTCTTTGTTTGTACAAATGTAGAATTTAAATGAATACGTGTTATAATCATACTTGATGATTGATCACCAGTTAAAATAAAATGAACAGGTACAATTAAATATTGATTTTCAAGTACATATTTCATATCTTTATAAGACACAAATGGATTACCAAAAATAAAAAGTGTAAAAATAAATAGAGGTATTGAATATAAATGTAAAATAGTCATTGATGCATTCATCCATCAATGTCTGTCACTTATTTGACGTTGATTAATACTTTAACTAAAGTAACTTTGACATATACTAGTTACTAAATCAATAGAATCAGCTAAATGAATGAATTGATATTCAAATGTTAAATTAGATGTTCGAAAAACTTTCTTATGAAATGTTAAACGAAGAAGTAAATATGTACGAAATTCAAAAATAAGAATAATGAGAAAAATATCAACTAATGGCATTGATATTGTTCGAGCTATTGAATAGAATTCATCATGATATGATTAAGGAATATGATTATCTAATCGAGTAGCAATTCTTTCAGCAACATCAATATAAACTTCAGGAATTTGTCCGCGAATTTCATCGTTAAATTCATACATAGGCTAAGCAAAATTCGGTATTATAGTTGATCAATGATTGATTGGGTCAAGCTCAAAATCAATTAAAAAATTAGGAGTATCAAGTGAAATATTCCTATTTACAAATGAAACAAATAATAACAATAATTTAATAGACATAATCTAAAAGGGAACAAAAAGTTTAATCTGGAAACTAAAATTTTTATTTTATGATCTTAAAAATTCATCATCCGTTTAATCGCTTCTAAACAACGCCATTTAGATGGAAAATAGAAAGGTTCAAATACATGTGGAATTGGATGAATATCATAACCACAAATACGTTCTACTGGTGCTTCGAGATTTAAGAAACATTCCTTCTAAAAAAGAAATAAGAAAAAAGAGAACATAGAGAAAAAAATCAAAGACATGTTAATCGATTTTTCTCTACATACAGAAACTGTTGCCGCAATTTCTGCTCCAACTCCACCCGTTATGGGTGCTTCATGACTTATTAATAGTCTTCCAGTTTTACTAACTGATTGACAAATTGTATCAATATCCCATGGTACGATGGTTCGTAAATCAATTAATTCACATGATATATTTTCTTTTGCTGCCATTTGTGCAACTTCTCGAAGTACATGAACTTGTGTACCCCATGAAACAAGTGTTACATCAGATCCTTCATGTATTATTTGAGCTTTTGATAATGGAATTGTATATTCTTTTATAGGAACATCTTCTTTAGCTGATCGATAAAGTATTTTTGGTTCAAAAAATATACATGGATTATCATCTTTAATACATGATAAAAGTAAACCTTTAGCTTCAATGGCACTACGTGGAATAACAACCTAAAAATTCAATATTAAATTAAATTATTAATTAGATTCATTTTTTTACTTTAAGACCAGGTGTATGCATAAATTGTGCTTCAGGTGATTGTGAATGATATAATGCACCATGTCCTACAGCGCCCCATGGTGAACGAATAGTTAATTTACCACAATTAAATAAGTTTTGTGAACGATATCGATATTTTGATGCTTCATTTACAATCTAAAACAATATCAAAATTAAAAATAATCAATGTTACACAAAAAATAATTTTACTTGATCATAAGCGGGAAAAATATAATCAGCAAATTGTATTTCAGCAATAGCTGTTGTTCCAGCCACAGCAGCACCTATTGCAAAGCCGATAATACCTTGTTCGCATAATGGTGTATTGAACACACGATCAGCACCTAAAATAATAATAATAATCGACAAATAAGAACAAAAAAAGAATTTTTTATCCAACCATATTTTGATCTTAATTCTGTTGTACACCGAAAAACACCACCAAATGCAACATCTTCGCCAAATATAACTACAAAATAAATTTCAGATAAACAGATAAAAAAGAAAAAAAATCAGCTTTTACTAGCGGTATGATCATTGCCAAGTGTAATATCAAGTGTATTTTGGATTGTTTGACATAGATTCATTTCTTTGGTAGGACCTTGAAAACAAATTTTCGATTATTCAAGAAGGAAATTAAAGAAATGCACTAACCATGAGATGGATCAGGTTGATCTTTGAAAAATGTAAAATGAGCTACATGGCGTCGTAAGAAAAACGACGAACATTTGGGGGTAGTAACGATTAAACGACGAAGAAATGAATTCATGAATGAGAAGAAAAATCTTCGAAAAAAAAATAATTAATAGAAATTAGATGTAATTTAGATTGTTATATTAAATCAAACATTTATACATATGTCTATTCACTCAGGAAGTTGAGATGAGCACAAGTAGTAGTAGAAGTAGTAGTAAAATCGTTTTTTAATACGTGCATCATCCACCAATAGGAAACTGGAAAGAACAAAGATGGCATTTGAGTTGGAACTGTACAATTTATTGTTTGTTTTCTTTATTATTAAGGATATTCTTGAATTTACTGTCGCTTTTAGACTCTGATGCCGATAGAAGTACCTACCATCCAGAAATTGAAAATTCATTAACAATTTAGATAGAATTCAAGGTATTTTACAATGAAAAGACTTGAGACACTTTCACACAACTGCACTAATGAGATTACACAGGCTAACACATATACAATACTAATGTGGATGCTCCAAACACTGAATTCAACTTGATTTTCTTGAACTTGTCAGGTTTCCAATTTCGAAACAGTAGATATGTCTTTATCAACATAGAGTAAATTTTATTTTCTATATTTTTCAAAACTCAAATATTGATGCATTGACTAGTTTATTAAATATATTGTCCATAAAATAATAATATTGAGATTTACGGTTAAAATTTAGGGTAAAAGGCCGCAAGGAATAAAATAAGACATGAGTAAAGGTTTTTATTAACTTAGTGAGCGGATTTATAATTTTATTGGGACTTGAATATGAAGAAAGCCATCATCTTTCAATTCTGTTTTCAATTGATCAACTTCACAAGTAGAAAAAAGAGTAATTTGACGATAACTATGTTCACCTAGAAAAAAACAAAGTCCATATATAGTGAATATTAATTTTTAAAGGTACTCACTCATATAATGGTGACCATCAGTTGATATCTTATTATTGACTTCGATACGTAAATCGTATCCATTAAGTGAAATTTTCATTTGATCCAATGTTGTACCTGACTTCATTTGTAAACGCATGTAAAGAATTTTTTTGCCATCAGGGCCATCAACAAGTGATGGATTCCAGGTTTTATTTTGAAGAAATTCTTCAAGTGTATACTTTCCACTTTGATTAGTGGTTGACATTGTCTAAAAGCAACAAATGAAAATCACAGAATGATACTTGTTTTTTTTAGCAATTACTTCTGAACTACGACGTTCACTAGTGCTCGACTTTTGTTGATTTAATGTATTTTGTGATGTATTGCTTGTTCCATTTATAGTTTTAGTTGATGTTGATTGTGTATCAGTACTACGTGTAATTGGTACAGAAACGGCTTGATCAGTATTGTTTGTTGTATTTGTAGTTTTAGTTAATGTTGATTGTGTATCAGTACTATGTGTAATTGGTATAGAAATAGCTTGATCAGTATTGTTTGTTGTATTTGTAGTTTTAGTTGATGTTGATTGTGTATCAGTACTATGTGTAATTGGTATAGAAACAGCTTGATCAGTCTTGCTATCGACTCCTTTTGTTACTGAAACTTGTCGTTTTTGAATTGTTATTGTGCCACCACTAGCCAAAAGTTCTGGTGAAATTTCTATTGGTAAGTTTGTCAAATCTACCAAAAAAAAATATATACTTGAAGAAAGTTATTCGAAAAACCTTACCCGAACTTGTTGATATTGTTTGTTTAGTAGTTGTTGTCGATGATGATCTATTAGCTTCAGTAATATCAATTTTTTGATTGCTTGTACTCGATAAATGATGTTCCGATGTATATGTACTACCGGTTTGAATGTTGCTACCAGTTATCATATCCGTACTTTTCAGTAATTCAGCTGCTTCTCGGGGAAGATCAGTTGAGCCACTTGATGTTGTTGTTTTTGTTGTTTTTGTTGTAGTTTTTGTAATAGATACTCGTCGAACTTGTTCACCTGCTGTTGAAGAACCAGAGACATCATTTGACGGTGATAATAAACCTTGATTATTTGATGTATTAAATTTATTTAATGAAAATGATAGACGACGTTGATCATTTTGATTGCTATTAATATTTAAACGATCAACTTGTGTTGATGTCTGAAGTGGAATTTCGACGACAAGCATATGAGCTGAAGTTATAAATGATGCCACTGAATCAACATCAGCATTAGCTGGAAGATCAAAGTTTCTTTCAAATTTTTTTTGTACAAGACGAGTTTCAGTACGTTCTTCATAAACACCTGTTATGGTTAATTTATGATTTTGAATACAGATCTAAATAAAATAAAATATAATAGAAATACAATTAACATTTTTTTTTCTTTTTCTTACTTTAATTTGATCAGGTTGAAAATTTTCAACATCAAATGTAATACGAAATTTTTCTGTATCATCAATATGTCTTTCATGTACTAATTGTTGATTTGGACGACTAAGCCAACGAATATTTTCATCTTGACCAGGTGCATAATCGAATGCATTAAACCATATCTCAGTTTTATTATTTGAACTACTTGAATTAGTACTTGTACGATGAATTGGTACGACTTGTGTAGCCATTTCTATATATTATTGATATTATGAATAACTGTGGTTTCTGCTAACGACATACATATATATATATATATTATCGCCTCCTCCTTGTCAAGTGGGTGGACAATGACAGGGTTCTACTCATCTGCAAAATAGCTTCTTTCACCCACTTTTTCTTCTATATGTGCAAAATTGTTGCTATTTGATTACTCATTGATACTTATGTTTCATGCTCTTCTTTTATGAGTGAAAAAGTGCATGTAAACAGATTAGATTTAACAGTACATATCTACTTCTAGAGATCAGTGAATTGTTTTATTTTATACATATGCATAGAAACTAGTAGATCGAAAGAATTTCAATGCTTATTTATCTACATATGAAGACAACGCATCGAAATAGAAACCAATTAAGAATGATAAATCTATCAATAAGAAGGAACTAGAACCTTCTTTTAAATGTATGACAGAAAAACCACATACTGTCTACAATATAATTGCGAGTATTTATGCATTAGTTATATAAATAGATTGATTGACATATGCTTATAAAAACTGTCTTATTTTCCAACAATAACAATTGTTAGCATTATGATAACTGATTTTCTAATGTCATACATATTTTTAAGTATTGCTTAAAACTATGCTGATAGCCATTGAATAATAATCTATGCTTAATGGAAACTATTTTAAGAGAGACGAAAATTCGATGATATAACAAATAGAAATAAGAAAATTCTCATAAATCTAAATCAGTTATTTAACTTGAATAGAAAACATTGATATTCTTTTCCAATTTATTTTATTAAATAATTTTTATTTAATCTTAAAAGTATTTTGCTGATGATGTTTTTCTTTTGACAATCGTGCTCAAAACATAATCATGCTTCTTTGGAAAAAAGATCATCAATCTTATATCGTCGAACAAATTCATTTATGGTTGAGGTTTGACCAACAAGAACTAATATTTTACGAAAAACAAAATATACATTCGATATCTTATTTTTCTTAAATCAATACATTCCGAAATGTACATTAACTCGATAATCGAATTATTTTGTGCTTTTTTTTTAAATTTAATCTGAAAATTTATTTTTTGCAAAAATGTGCTTTTTCAGATGTGTATAAGAAGAAATTATTTCTTTTGAAGTCTCCTGTGATTTTACTTAAGTTATTTACATAGTTCGACAGACAGAAGCAAAATAAGATTTTATCATTAAAGAACGAATTTTTTTTTTCTATTCTCATGAATTCATTTTGTACGATAGAACAAAGTAAATTTGAAGATTAATAAAAACCCTACTGGTTGAAAAATCGACTTTTTTTTCTCCTTTAACCTTGAAATATGAATAAACAATAAATAAACCAATGACATTTACATTGTTTCGATAAAATATGAAAGAAAAATAGAAGTGAAAAAGTAGAAATGGGTAATCGATGCACTCGTCCAAAAACGAATGATGATATTCCTCCAAATTATAAACCAATAGACCAATCCACAACGAAGAAGATCGATTTATCTAATCTGAATTTACAAGATGAAGACATTCCCAATGATATAAAAGAAGCGCTTAGAACAGAGAAATCGCTATCATTGTCAAAAAACGAAATAACAACCGATGATATTCTGAAGTTAGTCAATGTTCTTAAAACAAATGAAAATCTCACGCATCTTTATCTATCATCAATTCCGATTGGAGCTACAAATAGAGGAATTGGGTATATTGGAGACTTAATTCGAAATAATCGAAGCATCGTTCATTTATCTTTGGATAATACAAAAATAGATGATCGTGCATTTGGAATGATCATTGCTGCACTTAGCTTGAATTCACCATCTATTCAATGTCTTGATCTTCGATCAAATAAAGACGTCACAGATCATTCGGTACCATTTCTCCTTAAGATGGCTGAAAAAAATCACATATTATCTCATTGTTATTTGAATGATTGCGGACTGTCTGAAGAAGGAAAAGAAAAACTTCGAAAAGCAAAATCAATCAAATGGTATCTACGTGAAAACACTTGACATTTTTATTATTCTTATATTTTTTGTTTCATCTTTTTTTCTTACCCATCTCATTTTATTTTATATGTCATGATTAAACTTACTCAGTTTTATACCAAACATGAACAATTTTCATTCTGAATGATTTTAAAAATATAATCAATACGTGGATGTAGAACATTCGTAGACCTCAGAATTTATCTTCGTAAATTCTCAATCTATTGTCGACAATTGCACTCGAATGTGCTTTCTTGAACTAGGAGTGTCACATTTACTGTTACTTTCACTTCCCAGGGTAACAGTAAATATTTCTATGATGGAAAAAACTTTCTATTTTATGAGCGATAAATGGTTAATTTATCCTTAAAGTATTTATCGTTGCATAATTATCGCCATCTTTGCTTACCACTCGCAAGGTTAGTTTTAGCTGATACCATGTAATACTAACTGGTAAAAACAATAGTAATAAGACACTCCCATCTTGAACGTATTCTTTTCAAACTATTGGTTTTGTTGGCTGTTAGTCAAGATTCTGTTTACATAAAATTTAGTATTAGATTCTTGTTGAAAAAAACCAGATGTTGACTTTCTGATAAGGTCGATGTAGACTAATATTGGCTGATGACTCAAGAACTGTCTTGATAGTGAGATTGTTTCGTTATTGAATTCTTGTTTGATTTTTTTTCTTGTTGATTTCTGACTGGATTCTTTTGTTTTCTTTCAAAATTTCAAGATACTTGTGATATAAGTATAGCTTTGCTTAACATCAACAGAGCTATTTTCTTCAGGTTTGCTCTATTTCATTTTTAACTTAAATGAAAAACAAAAAAAGAAGTAAAAAAAGTAATTACTATCCATTCAAAAAGTCAATGGTCGTCATTGTATCATGAACACATCGTATATAGCAATAGCTCACACTTTGCTATTTTTAGTATTTGAAGAAGAACAGCTGATAACTTTATCATACCATGCAAAAATCAAATAGGCAAGTAGTGTTCAGTATAGATCAGTTCTTATTTATCATTTTTGAAAAGATACCCATATAAGTCTTTTCCATTACATTTTTACTTTCCAAGTAGTCATTTGATAAAGAAAATCAAAAATTTTTGGTCTATGCAAGACCGACCTATTATGATGATTTCGTTGCCATGTTACAAGTATTCTTCTAAGACTCTCTAAATAAGTAAACAAATTGATAGTTCGAAAATACACTGTTCCCGCATGATTCTTATGTAAAACTAACGATTTAGAAATTTTGATCTAATTTCTTCATGCAACTTCGAAAAGTAAAACAAATACCACCACTCGTTTTAATATGATCAAAACTTTCTATACCAAATTATTTCAGACACACTAGTGATTACTTGACTAATTTAGAGAGTTTCAGAAAAATACTTATAGAATGGTAACGAACTCATCAGGATAGGTCGATCTTGCATAGATGAAAAAGCTTTGATTTTCTTTATCAAATGACTACCTTGAAAGTCAATATGCAACTAGAAAATATTTATGGGCAATTGACTACTGCTTCGTTGTTTGATTTTAATTTCATTGAATGCTTGTTAAAGTTGTGTTTCCTATAGTTTTATTTGCAGTCATTATTCGGAATGATTCATATAACTAAAATACGAAAATCTAGATTTTTTAAATCTTTGGAAAAAAAGGGACGTTACATTAAATTACCTTTGAAAACACTTTGTTTTCTTTGCCAACTTTGAGCTACCCTCAAGTACAATAAACATCGAGTTCATCTAAATCGATTTTACTCTTGAATGCACAGATTACATCATGCCGATACACTTTTAAAAACAACATGAACCTTCTGGACTTTTTGTCTAATCCGTTATCGCTATGTAGTTTTCATAATATGATCGATTGCCTACGACATCATAAATATTTCTTGTTTTGTGAAGTTTTATTTGTTGTTTTCATTTTACAATTAAACGTAAATTAAACTTATGCATCCGTAAAATTATTTTCATTCTAATATTAACCAGCGTTGACATTTTATCTGTAATATGTTGCATAAAACTTCAAAAGGCATCAAATCAAATGATTACAAAATCATGTAAATCTTTAATTTTATTGAAGAAGTGTTACACGACTCTTTTTATCGTCTGCACTATTGAAACCTTTTGTATTTTCAAATTGTTTTATCATTACATTACGAGTCGTCATGGTTGAGTTGCTACGTTGTTTGATATGTATCCACAAAGTACTCTTTGCAAACCTTAGTACCACCAGTCATTGAATAACTCTGGACAAGTTACTAACGGCTATTTTTTTCGTATTATTCATCTAATAGTATGCTGACTGTATTGTGACATACACCTGTTCTTGTAATTAATGAGTGTATATAGCGGAGCGCAAAAACTCTGCACCAGACTGGCCTTCTATCCAGAGTCACAGCTAGTAAAAGTCATCTTTCTTCTCTCATTACATAACTATATCATCTTTGTCGATAAGAATTCTGTTAAATTCTACTCCTAGATTGCCTTAAGCTATAATCATTTTTACGAAATATATTAATTTAAAACAATTAATAATTTCTTTTATAGAAAATATAAAGCATCCATGAAATAGTATAAATCATGAAAATTATCTTTTCATTTTATTTTAATGTATACATTCTTCTTTTTTTGGATTATATAAATTAAAATGTTTAACAAAGTTATTTAAAATTTATTTAACAAAAAAAAAAAGAAATTATTTTTTAAACGAATATTTCAAGTAAATTATCAACTTGATTTCTACAAATCGGACATGTTTGTTTTTGAGTATTATTCCATAATTGTCTACTACATGTAACACATACACATAAATGTCTACAAGGTAATAAAACAATATTTTTTCTATCATTCCAACAAATAACACATAAACAAGAATCATTAGTTAATTCTTGTTGTAATTTTCGACGCATAAATCTTGCATAAGATGGTCTTAATGAACGTTTATCAATATTAAATTGAAATAAATAGTCATCATCATTATCATGATTAATATTTGTTACATTATTTTTCTTTATGTCAATAAATTGACGAGCTAAAAATTTTTTTAATAAATAAAAACTAATGATAACTAAACAAATGCTTATCATAATATCAATTTTATTCGATAATAATAAATTAATCATTATATCTTAAGAAAAAATTCATATGTTTAGAACAATGTATCAACATACAACACAGAACATTTTATTATTCATTAACTACAAAACGAATCATTGAATACATGAGAAAACTCCTATGCACAGGTTTTTATTCAATAGTGTTTATTTATCATGGTTATTAATATTTGTTGCATTAGTTGATGATGGCCATGTTGTAACAAATTCATCAAAAGCATGTGCAAATGTATATAATGTATAAATATTTTTCCATGAAGTTTTATTACGAGAAAGATAAATTAATTTAGACATTTTATGAATAAATGAAGACAAAAAAACAAACGATGATTTATTGTTCACGTCGATACAATGAATTGAGAAACAAAGAATAAAAGCGAAGAAAAAAAGTACATACTATTTTATTTCTATGTCGATTATGTCTCAATGGTGGACGCGCCATATTTTTAATTCTTTTTTTTTCTTTTCATTTGAATATATAAACAGTGATTTTAGATTCCAAAAATAAAACCTTTATTAAATGATAAGTACTTCGGTACATAAAGAAATCAAATGTACATTCGTAATCAATTGATTTATTACTGATATAGAAGAAAGAAAAGGAAAAACTTGTGCATGAATATTAAAATTATTATATAGATGACCGGTGCAGCAGCACTACAAAATGTAACTATGATTATTGCTAGAAAATCTTCACAGTGAAAAAGAATCATTGTTCAAATGTTAGGAAACCTGTTTAGGTACTAGTATATTTCGTCGCACGATCACTTCGTCGCAGAACATTTTGTCGCGTTCGGTTCATCGCAGAACAATTTTTTGTTTTCGTTATGTTCGTCGCAGAATAATTTCTTTCATTCTGTTCGTTGCATCCTTCTCAATTAATTCTTTTTTTTTAAATAACCAACTGGAATAAAATAAAATAAATTAAAAATTCTGAAAGATGTATACGACAACGATAAACGATTGACTATTCTAAAGGCATATGACTTTAATTGGGAAAACAGATCAATAAAAAATATTAATCAAAAGTGATCATGATAGAGCTAAAGTGAACGAAGAATAATTAGAATTGTCACACATTTAATGAGTTTCAACATAATCTAGACCAATGATAACACAGATCCAATATTTTTAATTATGGGATCACAATAAAAAAAACATGCATTGATGACATTGAAAATATATTTCATTTCTCAATCTCAATATTCACTGCTTCTCAAAATAAACGTCTCAAATGGAAAAACTCCTTTCTATAAAAGGAAACAGTGCTCCTCTATGATAGTTACCTCTACACTATAGAATTTTCAATAACGATATTTTCAATCTCATCAATGTATATTTTTATTTATCGTGGTCGTATAATTAAGAACATTTGATCAGTATTATTGTTGGTCTACATTATGTTGAAACGCATTAACTGTGTAACAATTCTAATTATTCTTCGTTCACTTTAGCTCTATCATGATCACTTTTGGTTAATATTTTTTATTGATCCGTTTTCCCAATTAAAGTCATATGCCTTAGAATAGTCAATCGTTTATCATTATCGTATACATCTTTCAGAATTTTTAATTTATTTTATTTTATTGCGATTGGTTATTTAAAAAAAAAGAATTAATTCAGAAGGATGCACACAGAACGAAAGAAATTATTCTGCGACGAACAGAACGCGACAAAATGTTCTGCGACGAAGTGATCGGTCACCTCTGTTTATCTACTATCAAAACATGACCTAATGAGAGAACAAAACTAGAGCTTTTGCTAAAATTTTTTTTTGTGCAGATCATTTTTTAATAAAGAGTACAGACACAGTTTCAATGAAAAACTTTTTCAAACAACAGGATTGAACTTGAGAATTTTGACAAACGTCCTATAGATCAGAGTTGTAACTTGTTCGGTCCGGTCGGTTCAAAATATATTTTAGATCGATGAAAACTAACTCATAGGATCATAATTGATTGGTTAATAGAAATGGCTTCAAAAAAAAAACATTCATTTTCGCTTTTGAACTCAGGTTTTTATAAACTTTCTGAAAGAAATATCGTGTTATAGCCGTTTATATTTGTCACGGTTCTCAAAGATAAATATGAACAAAGTCATGTACCCATTAACTAATTACTGAACTCTAAATCTTGAACTTTTTTGCTGAGGCTTTTCAGATAAACCTAACGATGATCCAAACCTAAATTTGACTTTTGTCAAAACATGTATCATATAAATTTAACTTAGGTAACACCGTTTTGATTGGACTTTAAAAAAAAATGAAAATTACTTTGATTAAGGGAATAAAATAGTATGGTCGAATTTTATCACATAAAAGTGATATATCCATAAAATATTTAACATCGAAAAATCTTTAGTCTATTTCTATAAAATTCAGTTATTTTCTTGAAATCACTCCCCGGGACCGAAAAAATCGAAATCAATTCAAGATCACCATAGTTTTATCATGTGTTCACCGTCTTCACCTTTAGTTAATAGGAAAATGTTTAGATCTGTGAAAAACTGTACGTAAGACTGATATATATGCCTAGCTACTGTACTGTCCAGTATAAGAAGATGTGAAGTGAAATTAGGGAATTTAAAAGTTTATTGCTTTTTCCAAAAAGTAGGAATTGCACTGTCCATGATTTCATAGAATATTAACTCTTCATAGAATTATTCTGTATGAATTTAAAGGTAATAAAAGAGAAAAGATTGTTAATAGAATGATTAGATTTCTCCATTAAAAGTTCTTTTCGTAACTGAGCTCTAATAGGCATAACTGATATTTGGTAAATGTTTATCACAGGAATAATATTAAAAAACAAATGGTACATTAATTATTTTTATTCGTATTTTTTAAAATCCAGATGCTTTCACTTTTCTTAGATGTTATCTATTTTCATTGATAACTCATTCTATTTGGTATGAGGTTCCGGAATTTCTTCAATTTGACTATCAATTAGATATGGATTAAGAAAAATTCCTATCGACTATTATGATGAGTGTAACCTACGACATATAAAGACTCTAACCAGATTAGCATCAGCTTTCACATGTATCCTATATTAATATTATTTCGTGACAACTTGCAAAATCTCACCCTACTTTCGCTAACACCCGCCCTGAAATTTTGTCAATTAGCGAACGTCTTATTGTGCATAATTCAGGCCATCCTCTTTGGTATGACTAACACATAAGCTAAAATCGAACTCTTATCATTATCATACCACAATGTAAAAAATTTTAATATATTACCAAAATATACTCTAGTTATATGATAATATGACCAACTAGTGTTATAATATTCTTTTTGATTTGTTATCAAACATCGAACATTTATTTTTTAAATCAATTTAATCTGAAATAAAATGGGAACACATATTAGACATATTTATGTTTTTATAGCAGCATGTTTTATTATTTATGACAAAAAGAAGCGTTATTTAAACAGCTACTCCTTGATTGCCAGTTAATGTTTGCACTAATGTTCCTTCTTCATTCATTTGTTTAAGAATATCCAAACCACCAATAAATTGTCCATTGACATATATTTGTGGATATGTTTGCCATGATGAATATTCTTTAAGTTTTTGTCGAACATTCTCATCTTGTAATATATCAAATGTTTTATAATCTTTTATATTAGCTTGATTTAATAGATTAATTAATTCTTTTGTAAATCCACATTTTGGTGTTTCAGGTGTACCTTTAATAAAAAGCATTAATGGTGCTTGATTAATTAAACTTTCTAAATATTTTTTCATATCTTTATCTTTATCATTTATTTTTAATTGTTTAAATTTTAATTGAAATTCACCATTTTCAATCATTTGTTTCATTATATCTAAACCACCAATTAATTCACCATCAATATATAATTGTGGATATGTATTCCAATTTGAATATATTTTTAATTGTTCACGTACATTTTGATCAGAAAGTACATCAAAATAATCATATTTTATTTTATATTCGTCAAGTATATGACATGCTTGTCGACTAAAACCACATTGTGGATCTGCTGGTGTACCTTTCATAAATAAAATAACTGATGATGATTTTAATAAATTTTTTATTTTATTTTCAACATTTATATCAGTATTAGATTTTGTTTCGACTGTTGTTGGTGTAATACCGATTTTATCGATATGATATTGAATTTTTTTTAATAAATCACTTTGATTAAAACCATCAACACGATCAATTAATTTTGTACGATGATAGAAAAGTACAGTTGGTGCTGCATTAACATTTTGTAATGTAAGAAAATCAGGAAAATGATCAGCATTTAAACGACATATAGCCAATTGTTGATTAAATTCTTCATTGCGACTTATAGCTAATAAAGCTTCATTCACTGTTTTACAAACAGGTATTTGTTCTAATTCAACATGAACAAGTAATAATTTATTAATGACAGATGATGACTTTATATATTCATCAAAATCCTTTTGTGTAGCAATTTGATGAACATCAAGACTATTTTGACTGGACATGACTTGTCTAGAAAAAAACAACAGAATTATGTAAAAAAAAAGACACTTGAAATATGATCTTATATTCTTGTTTAATTTTATTTTATATACAAAACAAAAAAAAATTAACTCAAGATAATGAAGAGCTAAGACTATTTCTTGTTCTTCTTTAGTTCAATGACGACGATTTTTTTTTGATGGTGAATGACTACGTGAACGTGATCTAAACAAATATAATTAATCAATTTATTGATTTTTATAAAAGACAAAAAGAAACACTACAAACCGTTTTCGACGTCCACGAAGACGTTTTTTAACATCCTGTGATATTGTTTTAATGTGCATAAAGTTACAAAAACCACTTCTCATACACTATTAATAATAAATATCGAACAAATATTTTTTCTTTTTATATAAAAGAAAAACCAAAAGACCTACTTCGCCTAATTCATACTGTCGACAACTAGCTTCTTTAAAATCCGTAACAGGACTAAACAATAATATTATCATATACAATAAAAATTCAATAAAATAATATTTACCTTAATTCTGCGTAGATTGGTTTTCTATCAAACCATCGTGTATTAAGATCTTCTACAGCTCGTTCGGCATCTCGTTCATAACGAAACTAAACAATCATAGTTGTTATATGGAAAAAAAAACAAAAAAAAGAAAAACTTTTTTATTTTTGTTTTTTACTTTAATATAAATGTTTCCTACAAGATGTTCGCCAAGATTGTCACAAACAGTCATTGCTTCAATTTCACCATACTAAATCAGTTACATACAAATCGTATTCACGATATAAGAGAAGAAATAAAATAGGGATGATCAAAAAAAGTACAAACATTTTTCCTAAAAAACCTGTAAACACAGAGAATTTTTTGTTTTCATATTTATCATTCTACCTTTTATATCTTTATACATATGAAGAGCATTTTGTTATAATAGAAAAGAAATGTAGAGATCCTCCTGCAAAAATGGGTCTAGAAAAATTTGAGAAAAATATTAATTAATATTGTACGTGATAGTTTGAGATGCAAGTGTCGTTGATGTCTGATTTTTCACAAAACAAGCCTGCAATAATGGATAGAAGCTTAGGCAGATCGGTGATAACAAACAAAGGAAAGAATATCAAAATTTAGCTTTATTTTCGCATTCTCTAGATTTGGATAAACATTCAACAATAGGATAAAGGGAGACTTGAAATCTTTATTTGATAAGTAGTAAACAAACATCAATCTTACCTTATCTTCAACTTCTGTATAAACTTCTTCATAAAATTCACTAAAATAGAAACATATGTATTAAATAAAATGAATCTAGAAATAGGATTTCTTTAGATCGAACAAGATTACATATGTATATAGAAGAGAAATTTATTTTTATCAAATGATGAAACTACGGAAACATTGGTACTATTTAATATTTGGTCTTCTTCTCAATTCTTTGCACAGGTATACTCTTAATTCGACGATAAATAAACTATGTGTACGACTTATTTTCTGGAAAATTATTTGTTTTAAGAGAGACACTCCATCGAGTAAGGAAGCATTTGTGCAATTCATGTATCATCATCTGTTGGCACGTACGTGTATTGCCATACCAACATATGTAGCTCTGAAAAATTATGAATTCTTGAATTCATGTACTCATCAAACTACTAAATTCTAGTACATGAAATCTAGAATTCTAGATTTTTGAAAAGTATATGTTTGCTTATGATGACACATGTACATGAGGTCATATAGTTGAACATGCTAGTAAAAGTTGTACTTATATCGACTCATATCTATTTTTTTCTATAGTTACGAACCGTTGACAAAGCTATTTATATATTTTATATTTTAGTGTAATACTACTTCAAGCAAGAAAAAGATTAATTCTGAATTTCTTGTCGAAAAGAAAAACGACTATCTCTAGTACAACAAAGTCTATACATAAAAAACAGGGATGTTAATTCAGGTTATTTATGGATATTAATATTTTTTTAGAGATACAAGTGACGAATAAATAGATTTAATAACCAGTTGAAAGCTGTCTTTAAAATTTTCATTCTGAATTAAACTTAAAATATATAAACTGTCACGCAGAGAATATGTGAAAACAATCTGCTAAACAATAGAATGACCTGTTTCATTTTGAATAATTTTAGTTTCTATGTTTTTAAGCAACAATCAGTCTTTTTCTGTTCAATATAAAGTCATTAATAAAGATATTTACTCAAAATGTTGTTGTACTTCTTCGTCTGTGTAAGTATTCCCACTAAATTGTTCTAGTAAGAAAGTAATATTAAAGATCATTATAAATGAATTGAATATTGACTTACCAAAGCCACCTTCTGGTTTTGGAATAGAATTATTATTTGGGTTTAAATAAAGATTTTTTAGAAGAATCGTCTAAAAATTAAAAAAATTAACTGCTGTCTTTTTTTTGATAAAAAGTTATTTATTATACTTGACTAAAGGTAGGTTTATTATGAACACGGGAACATCTGTAAACAAAAGAAAAAGAATTTAGACTTCAATATGTATATGAAGTTCGTACCGTTCACCATGACGACAAGCACCAATTTTAAAATAAAACGAACAATTTACTCTTAGAAAAGAAAGATATTACATATGATTAACATATAATTGAAAGACTCATTGAACTGTTTACTTGTCTTTTTCAGTACCAAAAATAGAAGCAAGATATTCAGCCATTATTGATTAAGATCTGTTTTCCGAAGAAGAATTGAGGAGCGGAAATTGATCTAAAATGCTGTTGTTATAAAAGTAAGAGAATTACATCTCATTTTTGTTCATTTTTTAAATACGAAAGATGAAAGTTACATGGTATTTAGATAAGCAGCGTTAACATCAATATAATTTTCAAACAGATTGTAGCGACAAAAGAATTAAAATAAATAAGCACATTTATGAAGTTATTATTGAAAGAAAACAAAGATAATCACAAAAATGTAAAATAGTTGATTCAAGCAAGTATTTGACAATGATATCTATTGCGAAGAGAAGAAATTGATTAGTTACACAATAAGAATAGGGATCATGTTTGAATGCTAGTGACATCTATTTAATAACGACTGTGAATAAACTGAAGTAAGCAATATTTTAGTAAAATTCATGTTTTAAGATCTATCCGATTACGAGTAAGATATCCACGTGTACTTTTTATCTGTTATTTTCAATTTTTAATAAAAACGATGGGATGAATTGCGCATTGTGTTTTATTCAATAAAAAACTGATTGATCATGTATGTGCGTTTTGATTAAGAAAAAGACTATTTTTGATTTTTCTTCATGTCATAGTGTGAAGTAGTTTTTACTAGTTTTCCCAAGCGGAAAAGCGTAGAATTCTCGAATCCTGTGGAATCCGACGAAATCTTGGAATCTCAGAGAATATTTGGGTATCCTATAGAATCTTGGGTTCTCAGTCTAAAAGTCCTTCAATGCACTACTACTAGTGTAGGAGGGTCTGTTAAAATGCAACAGTAATTAATAGAACATTCTAATAACATTTTTAATAGGTTCCTCATTCAGAATCTCTTGTTTTTAACTCTTGAAGACGCAAATTTATCTCTTTCAATATACATATTTTAGATTAAGATCAGTAAGCATACAACAGAATAGAATGTAGCTGATAAATATCAAAACGAAAATAAGAACGGCTTGAATATAAACATTTTAAAAAATTCAGCAGTAGACGAAGGATTGACGATAGAGTCACTCCTACTTAGATATAATGTCCTGTATATAAAACTAGTAAAAAGAAAAAATATTGAACATATATTCTTAAATGAAAAGTATATCACTTGCATATAGATTTCGTGACAGTCGATATTGAATAGATACAGAAGAGAAACAGATAGAGATATGAATAAAAAAGATAAAAAGATGTTATTTTTTATGTTGTCGCTGATGAGTGTTGTAAAAGGTGTAAATATGGGTGTTGGCCAAGAGAACAGTAACATTCACATCCACACGCCACCCTATTCTGTTACGATTAAAACATCATTTATTATTTATTTTTTTGATCTGTCATGTTCAATTTTTAATATAACTAATGAATGAATTATGTGTTGTTTTATTGAATAAAAAAAAACAATTGATCATGCATGTGAGTATTGGGTAGGAGAGATATTTATTAGTTTTTCTGTGATATTTTTGTATCATATTATTTTTAAAATGGAATAAATAAATTCATGACACACATTTCGGCATTTGTAATATCTCGAGAGAAGACAAGACCGTTTTTGATTATCTTCAATTAAATGATGTGAAGTAATTTTAATTAATATTCTATAGTTTAAAGTCATAGTCCATGGTTGTTCTTCATGTTTGTTTTCAACTAAAATGATTTATATTTTGGATAGTCTTCATATTTATTCTGAAGTGTAGTTATTCTTAGGAAATATCGAAGACAAAAAACTGCGTTAAGTTGATTTGAACTCAAACTCAAATCATAAATATGACCTGAAATGAAATGTTTTAAAAGACAGCGGCATCATTTTTTTTACAACTTCGACAATCTTGAAGACTCTTATGATTTAATGAACGAGTTATAGATTGTTTTGAATTTCTCAATTTTCAAATGAATTAGCACTTGGCTATATCAGCATAAGATATTAGGGGATTTCGAAGATTCGCACCTGTTAATACTGTTACGGATTGGTTTTCAAGGTGTCTACAAGCCGCTAATCCTACAGCAGAAATCTTGAAGGTTTGTGTTCACGGAACATTTAGGACATCTATTTTGTAAAAGTTCTTGACAAGTTTCTTCCTCAAGAGTTTTGAATCAATATAACATACAGTAGCATTGGAAGTCTTCTTCACTAAAATACTAAAAGACACCTATAACCTAGCTACCGACTTGCCAAAATACTGTACTGAGTTTTTTTCTTGATAAGTGTATTCATAGAAATATACACTACTCGCAAAAAAAATATAACATGTGAACTAATACTTAATAAGACTATTTACTCCTCAACAGAACTTGCCTTATATTCATTAATAAACACACAAACATGTAAGACGATCATTAATATGGATTTAGGAATCCCTAAAGCTGTTAATATAGCTTCTTGGGCGACATTATTTCATATTTCTAATTTTGTAAAGAAAGTGTTCAGATGTTGTATGGGAAAATTGAAGGGTGTGAGTGTTGGCCGTCTTGTAACCCGCATACCTATATCTACTCTCAAGTAAAAGCTGTCTCAATGTTGTCTCCAAGCTTTCGAATAATATGCTTTTCGCATCCAGTATTATTCGAATCAAGAAATGGATTGTCGCCAATAAAAGCATAATCCATTATTGCATCATCTTTTTTACGTACATGAACATGTTTGCATAAAAACATCGAGCCAATCAATATTTCTTCTTTCTTGCTAGGATATGTACTACAATAAAAAGTAGTTGTATGCTGTAAAACGAGTTTCTCTTTCTTTGCATGTGACTATTTATCATGATCAGCGATACTGTTTTTTATTTGGTTCTTTTCTGCTGGAAATATCGTCGTTTCTTTTACTTTTGACTTGTCCCACGGAGTGCAGTAAGACGTGAAGGGTATTAATGAGCAAAATATTTGGTGAAGAATTTGAAATAGTTTGATTGGATCAGCAATGTACCCCAAATGTAACTGAAGCCGATTATCTGAATCGTCAAGTCCTTCTGACTCAATTTTTCTCTCGTCTTCGTGTTGTAAACACAGTGAAGATGTATCTTGCTCATCTAGCGACAGTCGAGATGACTGACAAAATACTTCTCATTGTCAGTGGATCACTCGGCGAGAGCATAGTACTGTTAATGCATGAACAGGCACAGATTCTCAGTGTGTTTCTTTTCTGCGACGATATCTTCAAACATCGAGAATGGACAAATACATAACGAAAAATTCATGGCGTTTTCAACGTAGTCGAAGCTATTCAGCTTGATGTTAAATTACTTGTGCATCATGTCATCCCTGCAAATATCTTCACCATGCAAGACATACATCAAACATCTTTTCAAAACATTGACAGAGATCAAGCTAATTTTATGTGATTTCAGTTACTCATTGATGTTCTAGCTCGGTTACTTCAGAGTTTACAAGGAAAACAAGAATTAATTGAGGAATGTTGATGTTGTTACGCTAAAAATGAGTTTGGGACAAAGAAAATAGCTGAATCTGAGACCATGTATATGTCTGGCTAGACCATTCGATGGTATACTAGTGGTTGCTTTCTATTTCGCCTTATCCATCGAGCATTTCGCACTAGAAACATAGACAATGTTTTGAGATTTCGCTACTTTTTTCCGGACTTGCAACAACAATTAGCTCATCTTCACCAATTGCCGAGGGAATCATCATCAGTGCAAACTGTCTACCATGGTCAAGTAATCTCAGTGGACGAATTATAGAAGCTTAGAGAAAGTAAAGGCGGTATCTATTCCGCGAATACATTTCTGTCAACAACCACCATGAGTAATATATCTCTATCATTCAATACAAGTGTCTTTGTCCGCCAATATTTCGTGCTTGTTTTGTTCCAAATCCAGATTGAAAACAAGACCGATAAACAATGGAAAATACCTTTTTGCTAATATTCGCGATGTGCATTACAATTGAGATGAAAATGAAATAAATTTCAGCATGGATAGTATGCTTTGCCCACTCACAAAGATATAGCTAGTACTTTTCAGGAGTTTTCTCTCGTATGTAACGAAATAGGTGACTACAAAGATGTACTGAGCTATTTGTGACAAGCACAAAGAATCATTCTTTATTAAAGTTCTCATGATTATTTAGATCTTGTGTCAAGTTATTTAGGACTGGCTGCTGTATATGAAGATTTGAACAAATATAAGAAAGCATTGATCTATTATAAAAAAGTTCGTCGAGGATTATTAGTGAAGAATACTGAGGGTGTGGGTGTACAGCTAACAACGTCGATGTTGCACTTTTTTGTACCCACTCACATTCACACCGCACACCTGACTAATTTAAAAAGACTTTGCAATCTTATTTGCGATTATAATTTATCGAATTTCAGTTATAGTTTTAACTTGAATAAAAAAGCTCTCTTTTGAATTCTTTTCTGCGACAATAGCTTCGATACTATATTTACTTTGATTATTTTTAAATTGAAGAAAAAAAATTAATCAATCATCGTTATAATAGTGAAAAACTTATCTGGACATAAGATGTGCCTAAATTCGCTCCTCGATTTATCTATATGACGTATTATGTGTTAAACGAATTACCATATGTTACTTCCTATCGAAAGTTCTTCCTAATTGCGTATAGCATTGATAAATTTTTCTCATATTCGCAGAAAATGAAAACTCAAAAAAATTTCGTATATACTCAAAACTTTTAGGACTCAACAATTTCTTGTCTTTGTGCTATTTGCAGTGGTTCTAATGGCAAAAATATCAACAACAGTAAATATGCAGAATTGTTCTGTTGACACGAGAGACTGCTACAGTGGTACATCAACATGTAACAGATGGTGTGCAATATGTGGCTATATCTACGGTAATCATGGCATTGTTACATATGGATCGAATTGCTACTGTTATCGATAATTTAATGATTATGATAGAGCGAAGCGGATGACATAATATTCTTTTTGGAAAACTTAATTTATTTTCATTCAATAAAGTATGAATATATACATACAGGTTTCTTATCTAGATGGAATCGTTGAATAATGGATAAGATTCTTTTACAAACAATGATTTCTATTAGTGTACATTGCAAAATGCAATACACCGGATGTATTTCTTGAGTAAGTCCTGAACACAAGCAGCTATTATTAAATTGTTTTTTTCTACATTTGAAAATTTTGTATTGGGCAAAGGAATATGAATATTGATGTTAGGGACGCGCAGATGTACATGCACAGGAACATCGAACGTCACTTTCAAATCGTTTGATATTTTTCATCAGATAGATCAAGCACATTCGTTTCACAGTCGTTTTCTGGCAACAAACACCTCCCAGGTAGCCTAGGAAGTATTATTTTGTCACTTTAGCCTGTACATATTGTCCAAAACTACAGTTTATTACACCTAAATATCGTTTCCTGAACTTCATGAACTGATTGTAAGTGTGAAATTTTCATCATAGAAACCGTATTTGGGCTTTTATAACTGAAAGTGTAGATATTGATATCCATATCCCACATCCTTCTGTGCTTGAAAAATCTATGTATATTCAATGTAATTTAAAAAAAAAACCTACACGCTATATTTTATTTATATGCAATAGTAAGTATGAAAGAATATATAAATTCACAGTTTCGTATATAGTTTAGATCTGTAGTCAAAATAGGCATAGTAATTGTGTAGATAATCAAAATAAGAACTATTCGTTTTTTGAAGAATAAAAAGCACTGTCAACTTCATGACAGTGTGCTTAAAAAGATACCAACTGTACTATGATCACGATTTACAGATATAAAGTCCAGACGATTATCTCCATTAAAGTCTCCAACCGTTACATCAACTGGAGCAGAACCAGTACCAGTCGAATAAGTATTTTGTTTTCTAAATTTCCCATTACCGTATCCAAGTAGTATACCCACATTATCCGTACCAGAATTAGGAACAATAAGATCTTCTATATTATCTCCATTAAAATCACCACTAACAATTGCATAAGGTAAAGATCCACTACCAGTAGAAAAAGTGTACTTTCGTCTGAAAGTCCCATCACCATTTCCAAAAAGTATACTTGTATTGTTTCCATAATAATTAGCTGTCACAATATCTAAAAAACCGTCTCTATTAAAATCAGCAGCAACGAGTGCATATGGACCAGATTCAATATAATATGTTGTCTGTCCTGAAAATTTTCCTGTACCATCACCAAGAAAAATACCTACATAATTTCCATCACCATTACCAACGGCAATATCAAGTCTATTATCTTTATTAAAATCATTAATAACGATTAAATATGGTCCAGAATTATTACCAGTCGATAGTAGAAGTGTTTTTCTGAATGTTCCATTACCAGTGCCAAGAAATACAAGTAGAAGACCATTTTCATGATCGGTAACTATAAGATCTAAAATACTATCGTTGTTCAAATCATTAAGAGCAAGCCCTGCTGGAGTAGAACCATTTCCTGTAGAAAATGTTGTTTGTTCTGAAAAGCTTCCGTTGCCTTGTCCAAGAAATATTCCAACATTACTGGCATTCCTATTAACGACAGCGATATCCAATTGGTTATCTTTGTTTATATCACCAATAGCAATTCCATTTGTCCCAGCATTAGCTCCATTCGAAAGTGTCTTATGTTGTTTAAAACTACCATCTCCATAGCCTAGAAATATACTCGTAGTATCTCCATTGCTATTAGCAACAACAAGATCTAAGAAGTTATCGTTATTGATATCAGCAGTCTTAATAGCCATTGGTCTTGCACCAGTAACTTGAGAAATCATTGGTGTAAATGATATTCGATATATATTCGCTAAAAAACACAGAGATAAGACATATTTCAAAACATTTGAGATATATGACTGTTTAATCTAACGATAAAATACAAGCCTTTCGCCTAATATCTTGTAACACTGGCACATTAAAACTATGACAAGATCTGTATAGGTAAAACATGTAATTTTTTATTCTTTAGTTATCGATTACCATTAATTAAACTAATGCGAGAGAAATTATTAAGAAGAGATTTTGTTTGAGTGTTCTTGATAGCCATATGATGAATTCCGTTTAGTACATTGAATACTCATGAAATAAGTCATAATTTAATTAAGATAAAAGTATTCAAAACAAAAACAACTTGCACTAATATTATTTTCAAAAACTTACAGATTTCTTGATTAGGTATATAGACACTGATTAGTGAAAGAACAATAGTCATTGCCGCAGCCACACCGAATAAACACAGAATCCAAAATACAATTGATATACTATAAATAGTAAGAATAAATGCATGAAAGTCAACGAGAGATTATTTGTACTTACTTCCACATAGTACTTGAGTCTGACGACATCGTTAGTAACTATGAAGTAATTACATGAAATGTGTAAGAGAGAAAGCATATAAATGGCAATTGATAGATACCTGTAATCTTTCTAATAAAAAAATAAGGTAAGGTGTTATATAGTATCTATTTGACCATCTATTTTTCTTTTTTATGTATGATATTTTTCACCTGGCCAATCAAAATTTATGTGTGCAGTAAAATTGAGAAAAAAAATATACAATCTATTATGATTGATATTTAACTTTTCATAATAGTTATGTGCATAAGTTATGCTTACGCGTTACAGGGTTACAGAAAACATTAAGGGAACACTCAACATTATTTATTCGTTGAACTACCAATAAACTTGCCGTTGGTGCATTCAATTTTCTCACATTTCAACTACAACTCGATAAAAAAAACTCCATATGAATCAAAATCTACCCATGGTGTTACTTTAAAATGTTTCATTATCAAATATTTATTAGTATCAGTTTCTTTTTTTATTAAAAATCACTTGCTTATCAAATTGAGCTCAGTTTTGCATTTGGATTTGGATTCGAGTGTGAGTATGGTTTTAGGTCTGGAATGTGGGTCTGGCTGGAAGTGAGCTGAACACCTACATTCATACTCACACTCATACACTCAAGAGATGATTCCCACTCACACGAACAGTCCACAGTTTCATTCGAAAACTCAATCAGCATCACAAGAAATGAAAGAGTGAAGAAAACTATGAGAAATATATGCACTCTCACATGATATATATCGATGTTAATTATCAACAAATTTTAGAACGTGTGATGAATGACATAAAGAGTGAAATCAAGTATAACTATGACGTTTATTTTGACTGTATACAAGATTATGTCGTGACTCAAGCCCCCAACAGATTCCTCCTTCGAATAGTAACACTAATGTTCAACTTTTAAATCATTTGCATAGAAGACTTGTTCACAATCTTTACTTTAAGAGTGCTGACAATGATTCTTGAAAATTAACAGAGGCAGTACTTCATGTATCATTTGTTTTTTATTTATAGACAATTATAATAAAAGAAAAAATACTACGAATCAAAAGTATTAACTTCGTTTCATGAAAGTATCTTCTGATTGTTTTCTAAGAAATCATCGACTAAGTTTTGATCTATAAACCAGGAATGATAACTGGACCTAAGTATGCTGGTTGTGCATTAGTGCCGGTAATTTTCCATGTCGTCGTGTTCAATACAATGGAAACATTGTTTGCTTTTGTAATCGTTCCATTTGTACACGGAGCATCTTCTCCTGTGGCAGGCTTTTGTTTGTTGATCGGTGATTGGACTACTCTTGGGCCACCGTTCATCATATTCGTACATGCATTTGCTGGCCATGGGTTTCCTACTGTGTTATTAGTGATGATTGAATTCGAAAGTGTAATTGTTGTGCTGCAAAAGGCAAAAGCTGCGCCAAAAGCACCAGCAACATTATTGGCTACAGTTACACCAGTAAATAAACCTGACACTGGACTTGAACAGAAAACTCCAGCTCCAAGACCTGTATACGCTGCATTCTTTAACAGATTCACACCATTCAGCGTAACAGTTTTATCATTGGCTAAAAATATTCCACCGGCTCCGTCTGCAGAATTATTTGCAATGGTACTATTACGAATTGATACCATGCCACCTTGAATGTACAATCCACCAGCTAAACCACTTACATTTTTTGAAACGAAATTATTATCAACTAATACGGTATCGAATATGTTTTGTTCACTTCCATTATAAGATACACGAAAGAATGCACCACCGAATTTATTTCCTTGATTTTGGGTAAATCTTGTTCCACAAATTGTGTTATTTCGTCCTAATCCATCGAAACTTATGGCACCACCGTTGCCACCGTTTCCTGGATTTCCACCATTACCCGTAGCTTGATTTGTTTCAAAATGACTATTATATATAGTCAATCCACTGCCAAGAATACCAAGTGCTCCTCCATTCGAACATTTGTTACTACGAAAAACACTTCCGACAACCATGGTAGTACCTCCACCTATAGTCCATACCGCACCACCTGCCACATCTTGACCAACTACAGGACCAGTGTTGTTCTCGAAGCTACAACTATTGATAATTGTGGTTCCTCCATTTTTCTGTAAAATTGCACATCCACCATCGACATCTTGACAACGACCATTGATAAATCGGAGACGTTGAACAGTTAATTTCGGTGTTGAATATCGAAAATCACCACGATCAAAATTTAGTATGCGAGTCTTTCCTAATCCATTCAATGTCACAATACCTGCTCCATCAATGACTGTATCGTTCAGTTTCGATACGTTCAAAGAAGTATTAATATTAATAGTTATGTTTTGTACACTACCGCAGCTAAATGTAATAATGCCACCTTTGAGAAGAGCAGCAGACAATGCACTTTGATTACATGATGCAGATGTACCAGTGCCAACAATAGATGTTGGTTTCGAGGTATTCTGTAGGCCAATCGAAGGAGTACACACATTTCGTGGTAGTGGCCAAGATACAACTGCAGAAATCAGAATAGATAACCACAACACGGATGAAGTCAAGAATAATATATTTATCATTTTGTTTAAAAGCGAAAGACAAAAATCCAACTCTAAAGAATAGGCACAGCAAATCATTTCAATTCACAAAACGAAATATCTAAACAAGAGTGTAGGCTAGTTATGGTCTGCTCCTCAACCATATCCGCACCCTTACATCGAGCACCTTGCAGCAAAGGATTCATTTGGAAGATATGAGAATATATGGCTGAGTGTATATGATGATTTTTTAAAGCTTCGAAATGGCGCAGACCCAACTTGAGCCGAGATAGTTTGGTTTGTGTCTTGTTCGATTTCGAACCTCGTCGTAGAAAAGTCTATCAAAGATCCATCCTTCGCGAAATTATAATCACACGAACAATACTGCGCATCTCAATGGCTTTGCTTCATCGTCTAGAGGATAATTCATAATCAGTACGAAAGATTTTTTCTTATTGTCATGTTCCTAGTCTCTAGAAGAACTCTCCACAAGAAGAACTTTATCGTGCGAAACCGTCCATTGCTGAATAGAAAAGGTACACGTCTAACGGAAAAAAGAAATTAAAAAATGACTGTCGTAGGAATTAGTAGTGAAAGTAGAAACCTTTCTGATTGTTTATTTACTTCCACCGCGAGAAAATATTTGTTCTCTCTCATTAGGTATTGACGTGAAATAAACAATATTTTTGCCCAGCAAACAAAATTCAATTGACACCGATACTGCCTTTGGCAGTTGGATCAATGATCGCATGTTCGAAGTTGTGAATGGTTCGAAGTACAAGTTATAATTTCTTACTGAAAATTATTGTTGACAGAATAAATAAATGAATCTCACTAGGTAGTCATGAAGTGTTTGTGTACATGTACTATGAAAGTGCATTTATTTTTTGTGACATGTTGTGCAAGGCAAATTTTGCGTTATTACAAGTAAAAAAACATCATTCAGAGCGAAGAAATATCAAAGCCGAAGGCTGATTTCTATGCATATAAGTTTTCATAATTCGTATGATTCAATCATTTCGGTGACGTCGAATATTACTTGTTGTTTGTGAACTTAAAAATTTGTAAAATGATATTTTCTTCGACCACTGTCGAACAAGACGAAACGAATGTTGTTCAGGATTCGAGGCATCGAATTTCTCCTGTTCATGGGGATTCTTCTTTTTTTCTCATAAAAAAATATCTATTTGGTTTGATGATATATGAACTCTAGGTACTTTATAGGTACGATCGGCAATAAAACGTATTATACTCTTACTGTTGATCTCATTCATTCACGGAAGATTTTGTTTCCTTCTGCCTTTTTGTATTATTTCATGTAAAAAGTTTTGTACTTTAACAACACTGAGTTTTTAGGCGCTATGTGCTTCAAGTCCATTGAAAATTTTGAATACTCTTCCATCATAACTGTTGATTACTTGGACTAAATGTCATGTTCATAAGGAATCTTTACCATCTTCACTTCAAGTTAACTCTTAACATAATTTGTGGTGTGTGGGTGTACATGTGGATGTGAGGATTTTCTTTCTAGCTGTATACTTGCACTCGCACCCTTTCATACTCACACCCACATCCTCAGATACTTTTCACAAGTGTTTCAAGTATTTTTCAATAGTCTTAGCATATTTGTCAGTCAATCTCTATTGCCAAAGCAAAGAGAAAAAGGGCATATTTCATTATGCATTATGAGAGCAATTCAATGTTGGAGAAGACATACCCAGCTCTTTCATGATCCTGACAAACTAATAATCAGTTCAAAGATTCCAACAGACAGAATGGTTATATGCAGTATATTTACGTAGTTCTCAAGAAGTTACAGCTATGATGTCGAATCAGTCCTTGAAAGCTAACAATCATAATGTCTAGATATACGCCAATAAATTACATGAAACATATGTAGTAAAATTTAATCAGTTTTTTATGTGATGTTGTAAAATAAACTGTATTGTATATGTAGAAGAAACACATAATAAACAAGTAGAAACCTATTCTTGTTTTAAATACGCGCGATCTCGGACAAAAACTACTTGTTTATTCCCTCCGGTAAACTTGAAAGAGTTCTTCTATTTATGAAAATATGGATAAAAGCTATTAAATATCACTAAAAATTTGTATCCTGTATATAATCGAGATAATCCTAACATTTTTACTAATAACTTTTGATTGTTACTAATAAAGAACGGTCATATATAAGGAAAAAAATTCATTAAGAGGTAATCAAATTTAAGAGAAACGGATATTTTTATTTAGAAATGAAATCAAATACTTTGATTTAATTCACTATAAAACAATAAATAATAACTGAGTTTTGTTTCAATTTGATTAAATCATTTCGATGAATTTTAATTAAATAATAAAGTATTTTTATCAAGACGTAAAGATCTATAAACATGATAAAGATTTGTATCACTTGTTGAACCTTGAATTAAATTGAAAAGAAATGTTGCTAAAACTGGAGATTGAACAAATCCTCCAGCATTGGTTCCACCAACAAAATACACTTGCTACTTTTTATTCTCAGCAGTGAATTGAAGAATAATTGGCATTCCATCTGAAGTCATTGGATGAATACAGAATCTTGTTGGCAGCATTTCTGATTCACTTGCATTGATTTCGTCAGATAAATAAGAACGTATTGTTGAATAAAATAATTCAATTAATCGATTAAGATAAGCTGATTGAGCAAATCTACGTTGACCACAAAAAGCAAAAGCACCTGTTACATATAAATGTTGCTCATTATAACTTGGTGTTACATTTACAACACCGATTGGTTCTTTTTCTGCTATTTTATATCGATTTTTTTATTAAATGAACATTCGGAAGTTTTGTCCAATATCCGAGAACATCTTGAACAGCTAATGATACATTAACAAATATTCAGAGATCACATCATCACATATCGACGATCAATTTCGAGGCGGGCTTTACTAAATCTTCGGATTTCTCCAAAAAAATCTTCATTTTTAGATTTTTTTTCTTAACTTACAATTGCTCAAAATTGAAAGGCTTGAAAAGAAAGACAAAAGAACTGATAACTATTATTTTATTCAATCGATATAGCCTTTGGCAAACAGTTGTTTCTTTTCAGTTTTGTCTCAAACTATGAAAAACAATCTTGTGGATGTCGAATTGAAAATTCGAATAAAGACTAATTGCACAATTTTATGATTATCTCTCAAATTATCTAGATGACTTCGATTAGAAAGGTTTTCAAAGAAAATATTTATTTATATTACCATAATTAGAAGCAATTATAACGGCAGTCAAGAACTGCTCATTATTCATTGGGTATTCCAGAAGTAGTGGCAGTAGCACTATCATATTTTATAGACTAAATTCAAGAAAAGTGTCTCTCTCTCTCTCTCTTTGTATATATAGAGATAGTTCAAGTCTTGGTCTATGATTCTATAATATTTCATCATTCTTCAGTTGGTATAATGATGTAGGAAGTTCAATCAAAGCTATTTGCCTTAGATTTAGAAGGATCTGGAAAACTTCTGCTTCTGAATTTAATTCAGTATAGCAATATATTTTGTTTTCGATGACTAGGCTCTATGCCTATGAACAGTTGAAAGATGATATGAATAGCTTTGTGAAAGCAAAGAAGATGTTGCAGGCGTAGCATGATCCGCTGGATCTGTGACCGAACAACAACTGAAAATATTTCACAGATCCATTGTCTTATTAATAATAATTCTTATAAAAAAAATTGACTAATTGCAAGCACAAACTGATCTGATCGTGAGTCAATTTATAGCGTGGAAGTGTAAAACGCAGTTTATTTGTTAATAAAAGTTGATGCATAAATCTTCTGATGCATTTCCGCTTGTCGAACTGTCACATGTCTTAAATGAACTTTCTCACATTCTAATTGAAAATACCTATACTCATGTGAATTAATTAGAATACAAGCATATAATAAAGATAATTATAGTCATCTCGATTTATCTGTTGCCGAATTCAAAATAAAGACTAGCATTAATTAGTAAGAATGCATCATGATAGACGAAAGGTCATCGAAAAGTATCTTTAGTTCAATTAGCGTTGCAATAGTAATCAAGACCAAGAACTGAAATATGTGCCATATTTACTATGATCACCACAGTATGTACTGTATTTGAAATAAAACTGCTTATTTTTCTCCTAAAAAGTAACTGACAAGGCAGCAAATCATAAAGAGGAGAAATCGAAAAGACGATCCATCTATCCAAAAAATACTTCAAAGTGACTCTCTGAAAAAATAAATATTTTCAGAGAATCTAATCTTGATGAAATTTTCAATGAAATTATACCTCGAACCAGGCATCTCACAGTAAAAATTTCAGTTTGATAGAATGAGTCTCAAAAGAGTTAGCTTTAGATTATGGGTCAGTGTTTAGCTTTCCGTGCGTTCTAAATTTATTCGTCATTTCAAATGTTAGAAAATTCGGGTTAGTTTTAAAATTTAGTCAAGACGTGACGCTACAACTTAAGGGAGCCCTGTTTTCCTTTTTTTTTCTAGCTAGTGTTTCTAGAAAAATTCTCTGATCAAATACGGAAAACTCAGAGAACGTAGGCCTCGAATGATTATTTTTTAATAAATATTCAGGTAAAAATCGAAAAATCCGGCTCTGTTAAGTTATAAAGCTAATTTTCACCTTCATTTTGACATAAAGCCGGAAGTTTCAGCGTTTCAAATGGCGAAGAAATCTGGAACATACACGGAAATGTCAAAATCAAAAACACTATTGTGAGGAAAACGCAAAATAAGTTTCAACACTAAAATTCAAGATGTTTGTCTTCATAAACTGATATAAAAAGAATCGTCGAGTTTTTTACAATAGATAAATGATTAAATTAAAGGAGTCAAATGGATGCATATGAGGATATACGAGAAAATTTGTTTTTTCGTCTTCATATAGACATATATAGTCCACCGAGATATCAACAGCAATCACTTGTTTTTGAAAAAAAGCTATAAATTTATTTAAATCGATACACTTTATGTAGAAGAGGTGTTTTCAAATTATCTAAACTGCTTCAAAACATGTTGTTCTCATCATGATTGCGAATATGATAAAGAAAAGTTTATTAAAAACAAAAAAACAAACCGTGATTCATAGCCTATTTTACATTGCTGGAATAAGAGTGAAAAATCTTTGAATATCTATACTGCTAATATAGAAGTAGTTATGAATCGATGTTTATTACTTCTATTTCATTGTGTCGTTTGTCATGTACAAGTGTTGTATTCACTTATTATACTTAACGATGTCTGATAGCCACGCCCATTATTGCCAAAAGTCAACAGAGAAGCTTGAAAGACTTTAAAAATCAAAGTTTTTTTTAAAGAAAAAACGTTCTTTTCTGACATGTGAGAATTTAAAAATCCTATGTACTGTAGTATACTTAAACCTCATTATAAAATCAATAAACTGTAATGTATTCGAGAATGGATACTTTGGACTATTTAACGAGCTATAAATCACAAAAACGATAAATTTGACCAAACTTACCTTTTTCTGAAGGAAGAAGGAGAAATCTAAAAGGGAGGTCTCTCAGAAAGTCGATTTTTCTTCAAAGATTCAGCTTTTTTAAGGAGCACGTATTCTTAAAGCTCTGATTATCTTCTTTTCGAAAATGTATTTATTATGTATGAATGGAATATATTCGACACAGTTTTAGCGCTTTTATTCAAAGAAATTTAGAAATATAAGCAGTATTTGTGAATTTTTTGGTAGTTAACCAGAATTCGTAATGTTTCTTCTTATTTTTCAGCATTTTAAAACAACTTCCAGACAGATTGATAATGTTTTGAATCTGTTTATATGTTTTATTAAGTTTCCATAGAGTTTTTGGAAGCTTCTTTCGTATAATGACGTAGTAGATATGGATGGGTACGCATGGAAGCATTGAATACTCACATCCACATTCACATTCATTCGCCCACATCAGAATCCAGATCCATACCTACACTTGATACCCTACAGCCATACCCATGCCCTTCTATATAACTGCTACATATGACCTAAAAAACAACTAAGTCAACATTTTATGATGGTACTTATCAAACTTATGATGAATTGATGACGATAAAAACGATTTCTTCATTTTCCCCACACTGTTTCATTTTAACTGATCAAATTCAATAAATTATCTTGCCAAAACTTCAGTAACCCATAAAAATATGACATAAAAACGTCTAAAAGTTGACAGTCAACACTCGTTATCGAAGGATTCAGTTTCAATAGTAATCATAAAGAGAATTTGAAACAACAAGAAAGTATGTTTTACATCGCACGCACAATAATTCTCGTAATTATATTAGACTCGTTTACTTCGGCTATTCGAATCGGTTCGTTTAATTTACATCAATATGGTCCTAAGAAATCAGCCAATGCTACTTTGACTAATATTGTTGCTCAAATAATCAATGGTTTTGACTTGGCTGTCGTTCAAGAAATTACCGATGTGAGCTTAAAAGCGCCCAATATCCTTTACGAGGCGCTTAACAAAGTCTCACCATCGGGCGCTTATACTATGGCATTAAGTGAACGTGTTGGCGATTCAACATCAAAGGAACAGTACATTTTTTTCAATCGAGAGGCAACTTCTGGCTTGCAACTTCTTAGTGCTTATGTCTACGACGACAGTGTTTACGATTATTTCGAACGAGCACCGTAAATAATCCAAATGAATTAGTATAACTTGACAAATCACTTGTCTTCGTCATTTTCTAGGTTCATGGCCACATACAAAATCCAGCAACCGGGCAAATCCGGCATTAAAGCGTTTACCATCATGATCGATCGTTCAGAAATGTTGTTACCTTGTATCTCGTCTAAACACAAATCGAATGAAACCTACTGGTTGACATTAGTAAATAGGCAATGAATGTACATTTGCGGCCCGATGATGCCTACCAAGAGTCGATCAATATGCGCCATGTCATCGAAGATTTTATTATTCGACATCCGCAATATTTTTCTCAAACACCGACATCTCATGTCGAAGCTCTCGAACAAAATATCGTAAATCCCACAGATCAGAATAAGCCAAGTTTGAACACACAACATCCAATTTTGATTGTCGGCGATTTCAATGCGGATTGCACATACATTTCACTTGCACGACAAGATCTTCTTCGGTAAGTTTATCACGATGATGATATGAACAAAACGATAAATCTATATTATCTTTATAGAAATGTTTTCTTTGCGGATTTCAAATGGATGATCAACAATCAGGTGAAAACGAACACTCGACAAACGTGCACCTATGATCGTGTTCTTGTTAACGGAAAGGATTTCGTCAATGCGATTGTAGCACAAAGTAATACGACAGTAAACTTTGCTAAAACATTCGGCATGACATTGGAGGATGCACTTCGCATCAGTGATCATCTTCCTATCAAATTTGACATTAATTGGTAGAAGAAACTTTGACATTGTGACACCAATATAGGAGTGAGGTCTTATTAAATAAAAAGATTCGCATATTCAAATATCATATGGTCAAGTCGATTCTGATTCCGACGAATGATTCTTTTCATGAACTATTTCTCAATATTGATATATGCCGATATAGTCACTTAAACTGAAATGACAGAATAGACAATATTCTCAGATAGAATAGTGTATTTCGCTTTATGAAATACTGAATTTTCGTCAAAGAAGTTGACATCCTTGAATACCTTGACTTATCAAAAATATCTTAAACAATCGAAAAGATCAATGAGGGGCGATGGTAATGAACTCAATGTTCGATTTTCACAGGCAATGTTACGTTTCACTGAGAAATTGTGTCCTTGTGTAATTTTCTTTCGAGTCCTCTCAGACAGAATTCAAATGAAACGGTTGACTTTTCAGAACATACATGTATCGATTCGTTCGATCTCTTTCCTAAGTACAAACGATGTATTTGAGGTTGGACAAAAGGAAAAGATGAGAACGAACGAAAACAACAATGAGACTTACGATGGGACCAAAAACAAGAGAGACAATTAGAAAAACCATGAAGAACAACAAAATAATATGTATTTGTTCTTTGTCGATAAATCATCTTTCTTTATTTATTGATCGATCGAAGTCAATTTTCGAAAACTCGAATCTAATTCACCGAACGATCGACAATCCGAGGTGATCTGACAGATCCCATTGAACTTCCTTTTATTCTTTTTCGACGCTGATGAAAGTCGATAGAATCAATGATATGAAACAATGGTCTCCGTACAATAATGAGCAATCCAAGCTTTTGCCTAGTTCAGTTATATTGTTAACCGCGAAAATGTAGAGAAAATCTGGAGAAGTGGCGCGCCGAAACAGATCTTATCGAGGATTCTCGAACTTTGATTGATAACGATCAAAAATGTTAAAATGAACATTGTTTTACCTCCACTGATGCCTGTTATCCGATCTCAAAAGAATAACTGAGACAAAAGTCTAGTTATGGGAGTTGCATGTTACATCTGACATTACAAATTTCTAAAAAATAAAATGAACTGGGTGGTGACTAGAGAAGAACAGAATCAATTTGGATCTCGATTCACTAGCACTCATAAAACATGATTTACTCACCTCTAGTGACAACACTTATTTTAACATTTTGCCAGCATAATCGAAAGTCTACGATATTTTACACCATCAATCCTCTACATGTAAACAAATTTCGATTATCTTTGAATTTGACATCGAATACTAACTTGGCAAGAAGACACAAATAGTTTCGTTCAAATGAATTATGATAGGCGAGGTCAAAACTATGAAGATTTGGAGTTTCTGACGGTAGAAAATTCGATTCATAAGAACAAAAATGGATCTTATTTACTTCGAATTTTTCCAAGTCACCGTCAATGCAGCGACTAGAGTTAATATTAATGAGATTGATCCCAGTAATTTGCTACTAGATAATTCGACACGGTATTTTAGTGAATTACTGATAGGAAAAAGTGAATGAGAGATTTGAATTTCTCTTCTTTCGAAGGAACATTGTTAAATGAAGCAAAATCAAGTGAAACACGACATTGAACTTTCCTATGTAAAAAGGAACTTCGAATCAGATGTGAGCGTTCTATGGTCACTATTTTTTTACTAGAAATAACGTAGCGCATTTGTAAGGGAGTGATTATTGGATGTAGAGCAAGTATACAACATAAAGCAACTCGAATTGGCGCAGAAATCGACCTTCTACAGCAGCATTTATCTTCTTGACAGTCAGAAGGTGAGGTTGATGATGAATAGATTCATAAGCGAAATGATTAACAAGCACATTTCTCATCAATCGTTCAAACAATGCCGTGGAAGTTCGGGTGCCGATCTTCTTGTTTCCAACATCTTCATCTGTCAGTCACTCAGATTGAGATGAATTGTATTTGCTCACTGAATCATGACGCAGGAAAGGTGATAAATGCAAAAACGAAAATTGCTACAAGAAAAGCTCGATTAAGTATAATTGATACTACAAGACAAAATGCCCGGTTTTTTATTAGTCTCAGGTTGTTGACAGAGAAATTTTACCAGCTCAGGATAAAAGAATTATTAAAAACCAGTCGCGTGACACAAAGGCTCGAAATGATCAAGGTAATGAAATATTAACTAGATCCTAAAGATATCACATCGTAACCGACTAACACAATAATAAAATATCAGTATGGAAATAATGATTTTATTCATTCATAGATAGAATTTTTCTCTTTCGATTTTTCACAATTACCATGGACAATTCAAGAACAATATGACACTTAGAGAAGTGAGCGAGAGAAAACGGATCGATCATAAAACTCTACCAGTATGGATGTACAACCTGGGTATCGAATTAAATTCAGTACTTGTAATAACTAGAAAACAAAGACTTGTAGCATCTATAGTCATACCATCACAAATTTATTAGCATACTGGCAATTAATCATGTCGCTTTTGATCATGCAATTGAAGAAACGAATAAGGCCTACACTCAACCACTCTTTCTAAAGTAAATAACTAGAGGTCAATATATGAGCAGCAAATATAAGAGCGAAATGCATCTGTAAGACAGCTGGAACTTTGCATTGAAACTTTCACACATTCATTATTTTATACTAAATTAAAAAATGGTAAACATTTGAAATAAAATAATGACTCGCGAATATATGAGTCCAAATCAAATTCTTCAATCCAAAACCATGCATTTTGCCATGAAGATTTCGAATTCTCCGATCAAATGAGTCACGCATACAGTTTATGCGGTGAACGTTCTTTGGTATGGGTGGGTGTGGATGTTGATGTCAGTGTAGATGAAGAGAACAATCACAGCCATAGCCACAGACAAGTCGCACACATCTACATATCCTCTATTGAATGGTGTGAGCGTGTCTTATTCTTCATTCACACCTACATTTACATTTTGATCTAACTGTTATGATCGCTGTCTACTTCAGATGCATTTGTAAAAGGTGATCGAACAAAATAAAATTTCATAGTAAATCTTTGCTTAGATCGAACATTGTTCACAATCAAACGTTGATTAACTCCTAAAAAAGTGTAAAATAAGTTTGTAACAATATGACCTACAATTTCTTCAAAAATATTAAAGAAGTTGATAGAAAAATATTTGATTACATTAAGCTGACTTTCTTTTAATACATGAATGACTTCATTTCTAATTATTAAGAAAACATTAATTATTGCTTGTTTTTTGTCAATATTTTGATGATTCTGCAGAATCATTAAAAAACAGCAATACTCGAAAGTAACTTCAAATATGTATTCTACATCTTTCTATGACTTCAACGAATCCTTCATAAAACTAAAAATATTCTATTGCATCAAAAACTTTCTCTTTCATTGTATCATAGCATGTTTAGATGAAATAAGAAAAATAAGTCAAAAATTAAATAAATAGTTATCTGTTAATTATTTGCGTACGTTAACAAAGAGTTCACTAGTAAAAATACTAATTTGGACAATAAAATTGATTCAATGAATAATTAGTCTGAGCTTTTGTTTTGATTTAACTTGAAGATTAACACTCATTGCTCTTTATATATATAATCTTATTAATTTAAATAATTTAATAACCTATTATTAGCTTTAAGCATTAATCATTCGAAATCGTATTTTCACATAATTCTCTCGAGAAGTAAGAAAATCATAGTGGATGTACCCTGATTTTCTCTAGCTTCAATAAAAATTATTCGTTTCACTTTTAATTCTAATAGTTAGTCAATACTTTATTCGGATGAGAACTATGGAGCAGATGATATAGGTAATTCTGAACGCCTTCTCAAAAACTGAAGTTTAAAGTCTTATATCTTTCTTAGTTTTGACTATTTTTGAGAATAAAAACACTACCGTTTAGCTTGTCATATTCTCTACATACTTATCTAAAAATCTTCGAAAAATTACCTCTGAAAAGTTATTCATGCCCTCTTTTGATAGAAGTATCGCTGAGGGTGCGGGTTTGTGGTGAAATAAACAAATCACTGACACTTGTTCTTTTGTGCACCTTTCAAAACAACACATTAATCATTTAATTCGCTCCATAATAAAGTAAAGTTCATCGAAAAACGCATCTTTTTTCCATTTTGGTCTTTCGAAGATAACTACCTCTATACGAAATTCGATAATGTAAATTTTGTACACTCCACTGTACGTTACGTGGTTGAGTTTTGAAGGTCTATCACGGCGGTGTGCCATGCTGCGCAATCA